GCCTAACAAACATTACATCAAATACTTAGTTAAAACAAAAGAGACCTACTAAACATTCGAATAGGGTCGTCAGAAGACCTTCATATATATATTTTGTAGACTCTGATTGTCCTTATACCACTTTGATCACAATGTATATCCGCCTAATTAATTTCCAGGAATGAAATACAAAATGTATGATTTTTATTATTGACAAACACTACCAAAAAGATATAAGGATAGAACAAGAAAGTCCGACTAACAAGATCAGTAGAATCCTCCATACTCATAAACAAATAAACACGTAAGATTACCACGTCGACATACCACGTAATGGTGTACGTACGCAGAATAATTCATCATTAAACACAGGCTATTTGCAGAGGTTGAATGAGGTCGCGTGGGGATGAGAGATAATGCATGTGTTACGTTAAATACCAAAAAAGAAAACATATTAGTGGTGTGTCTTGGGCTAATCGTAGTTTGCTTGCGTTGTATGTATTCTCTCCTCTCCATCTCGTATTGTACAACAAAACGGGGAGAGAGAGAGAGAGAGAGAGAGAGAGAGAGAGAGAAGAGTGAGAGAGCATCTTTTGGAAAGCGGTGATACTCGTCCGGTTTGTTCAACTGTGGCCTCACCAATCTCTAGATGATCTGATTCTCTCTGTGTCCTTGGTTGTGTTTTGAATCTATGATCGAAAAATGAGGTCGGGCTTCCAGAGAAGATTGTTGGGGCTTGCCCTATCATTACATATAAATTTTATTGGGTCCCACTTTTCTTACTTTAATACAAAAAAATGATAAAGAATCATTCATAAACTCACTGTCACTTCATAATTTAATATCAATTTATGTGTCAACATTATAAACTATTTTGCAAAAAACACAAGGTGACAAAATGCCTGTGAAGAGTCTTACTTTAAAGAAAGTTTCCTTAGCATTTCTTTTACTGCTACGAATAATACTTATGTACTCACCAAATGCTCACTTTTTTATTTTGGTCTAATATTTTTCAACATTTTGTTGTTTAAGAAAAATAATAGACATGTTAATTAATTTGTCTTGAGCTTTAAAAAGTAAGAAACACGTAAAAAAATTTAATGGGTTGAATTAAAAATAATTGTGGAAACTACTTAGAGTGAATCTCTAAGTATCATCTTTTTACTAGTAAGTACCCTTTTGATCTTTTTTGAGTTTCCATCTTTGACGGTTTGACTGACCAAATAAACAAAAAAATGAAAAAGAAAATCCAAAACTTCGAAGTGTTGGTGTTGCTTTGATGATTGAATGGTGTCGTATATTTGTGTAACTTTATCTGTCTGTCTAACATCTCTTTAGCTTTTCTGTCTGATCAAAATCTCCAGATCTTCTTCAACTTCTACTTACTCCTACGAAATCTCTATAAAAAGTTAGCTATCCATCTAATAATATCTATGTATCTTGTAGTGATGGGTTATTCCAAAACCTAATCGAGAGCCTTGAGGTTCCTATCATGACCAATTTGGCGTCTTTTCCCACTTTGTTTCCTCCTTCCACGTGACTTTACTGGGTACGGCCGCTGCAAATTATAATAGTTGGTACTACTTTTCTACCTAAAGCCAATGAGAGCTCAAAAACTGGCTGTTGTATTGGACTATTGGGTTTGTTGATGTTGTTGTTACTGTCACTGTTGAGGATCGATTTTGATGGATTTGACACCCTATAGCAACCAGATTATGGAACCATTGTATTGTTGGAAACTTACTGTTAGAAAAGGGCTGTGCTATTTACACCATCATTTTTACTTCTCACATATTTTGTTAAGTTTTGTCATTTGATATTCTTCAATTCATCTGATTCGACAATTAAAAATCAAAAGATATGTGAGAAATAAAAATAGATGTGTGAATAATGAATATCGCTTCCTAAGAAAAAAAAATGTATGTCTAGATCACTCGCTCATGTGCATGCGATCAGATTCAATAGTTTCAACTTTGTAGGAAGTAAATCAATTATACATCAATGTGTAGTACACATTTTAGTTTTTTTTTTTTTGTCAAATGATAGATTTTGTTTGATTAGATGTTAGATTAGGCACCATCGGGATTTAAACCTACGCTGTCATGCAAGGGCTCAACATATTTCCATCACTGTGATAAATGGCCACTTGGAGTACACATTTTAGTTTAGATGGCTTCATTAGGACCATTTGTCTTTCACTATGTTCACTTGAATTTTTTAATGTACATTCAATTGTTAAATTCAACAATGCATATTATGCCTAAATTCCACAATGTGCATTTATGTACTCTATAATTTTTGCTTTGTGAATACCATAAGCATGAATGACATTGATCCCGGTACTCATGAAGCACTCGACTGATTTTAATTGTTCATGCTTTGTGAGTTCCACAAGCAACACTGATTCTAATACTTCTCATGTGCTCGACTCATTCTAATTGTTCATGCTTTGTAAATTCATGAAGCACAAATAACAGTTAATGACACATAAACGACTAATTTTAACCAATAATACGTAATCTTCTAGATTGTGAGTCTCACGAGCATAAATAAGGGTGATCCTAGCTATCACTCTTCATTAATACTTGCTAGTGACAATGACATTTTAGTTTTAGTTTTGGAGTATATTACATGTATATCTAAGATAATCTAGACAAGAGAAATGTTAGAGAGACTATTTCAAAGTGAAACATTTCATGAACTCTATATCATTTTGCAGTTTAACGTTAATTTTCAGGTCAACATTATAAAATATTGTGTTAAAATTATGATGTGGTAGATAGTTCATAAAGAGCCACTTTTAAGGGTGTCTTTTTAGCATTTCTCTCCAAACAATCCTTAGATTATCTCCAACCTTTGGATTAAAACCTAAAGTTTTTAAATCATAAAATTTAAGTTTTAACCCAGAAACAGTTTTTCTCCTCCAACTCTTATGGATTAAATTTTTAGCCCGAGAGTATTAAATAATGAATTTGGGATAATTTTATTTTTCTTAAAGTAACTTTAAAAAAAAATTATGCGTACTATCCTAATAAAATTTTATGAACATTTTAACCTAAAAATATTTAGATTCGAATTAATATTGAAAAATATCTAAACTGACACCATGAAACTTGTGGAATACTATGAAGAATATGAAACACATAAAATAATTTTTTTTAAATTACTTTAGCAATTGGATTTAAATTTAGACCGTTAGATCTTTTTTTTCATCATTAAATTTGATTATATTAGATCGTAGTCATTAAATTCAATGAATTTATAAATATAAAACTAAAAAAATACACATATATGGTGGCCCAGCTCCACTAACTCATATAGAATCTTGAGTTAAATTTCTTCCAGAAATGAGTTTTGGATTAAAATTCATATTTGCTGCAAATGTTAGAGCAAGTTGAGGTAGGGTGACAAAGACTGACAAAGACTAACAAGGGCTTTGAATATTTGAACATGTACTGGTGGCAGAGGGAGATAGAGGGGTATATTCGAGAAATGAGGAGTGAGATAAACAGACGAGTAGATCAGCAGTGTGTGGGAGTGCGAATGGGAGTGGGGAGAGGAGGAAGGAGGAGGATCAGAGATAGAGATAGATAGGGATACGGACAGAGGTTTTTGATGGTTGCATCGGGTTTGAGACCAGAGAGTGCAGAGACTAATTGGTCCTCGTGATCGGAGAAGGCAGATCTATAGAAGACTGTTCCCGCGTGTCACGTGGGGCTCTCTTTTGACTACCCCGATGACCAAAACACCTAACCCCACTATTCCTATTCTCCCAACTCCTCATTTATTGTTACAAGCGCCCCCCCTATTTTTGTTCTCTCTCTGTCTCTCTTAGAACTTTTTTTTTTGAATAACTTTTATTTAATTTTGTAAATTAATTAATTTTTAATTTTAGTTAAACATAGATAGAGGTGTGTAAATAACCCATATCCTGAGCCTAAGGATTAAATGATCTGATCTGTTAAAATCTAATTCAATGGCTACAATTATTATAACTTTTAAAATGATCCATTGTTTGTAATCGTTTGATTAAATTTCAACGGGCCGGATTATTTGATCCCTAGACTCAGGATCAAATGATCCGGAGAGGATCTGGGTTCGTGTGTAAAAGAGAGAAAATTTGAAGAAAAATAGCTTCTCAAAATTTTTGGTATGGCGATTACACATGCACATATTATTGTTACCGATTTATATGATATAGGTTTATGGTTTTGTCAAAAGATATAGGTTTATGGTTGAGGATCAAGTTTATATTTCAAAAAGAAAGTCTAAGTAAGACTTTCAAACTGTAATATTAGTAATTATTTAAGTTCTATAATATGTGTAGAAACTGACTATACATATTGAAGTTTATTATAAATGAATATTTTTGATAGATTGTAATAGGAAGTTAACCTTTGAGTCTGGTTGTTGTTTTTTTTTATGTTGTTGATATGCACATTAGTAGATTGTAATACCACATTATAGTATGACAATCAGACTTGAAATTCTGACATTTTAAGGTGTAGCATTACTAAATAAAACACAATTTATTAGCTGTTAAGTATGTTTAGCTAATTGGCTAGAATAACATTCTATCTATTCATCTAAAGTTTGAACTTGTAAGGATAAAAAAATGTCATAAAACAAGTAAATTATAAGAATATGTGAAGAAATATGTTCGGAATTTATGGTTGGCTGCGATTTGGGAGAATCCCCATCACATGTATCACTACACTTGTTGATGCCCTAGAAGATTATACAACACTGACTATACATTGAGACTTAGTCTTCTTCTTGGTCCATCTCCTCTTTCTCTCTCTCTCTCTCTCTCTCTCTGTAACATGCAATTTGGGACCTTGGGTCCCTCCCTGTCTCCATCTTTATCACCCTCTCGCTTACTATATATATAATACACCCTCTCTCTATTTGCATTTCACGACAACGTCGACTGCAGCTGCTGACTGGTATTTCGCCCTTTTATTGGCTTATAAAGCTACCAGACAACCTCTCCTCCTCACTTCCCCCCTCTCTCTCTCCCTTCCTCATATCGTACCCCTATTTTCAGCTCTCCCTTCTCTCTCTCTCTCTCTCCCTCTCTCTCCCCCAACTATTTTTTCCACACATTTATTATTACATTTCGCTCTCACTACACTATTTGGCCGTTGTACTTCCCTCCCCCCTTCTCTCACTCTCTCTCCACTCTCTTAACTATAAACCCACCACATCTCTCACTCCTACTCCAATCACTTATCTTCAAGTCTAAGCAAAACCCATTTCAGATTTCAGAAAACCCATTTGAAGGTTCAAAACTTTTACTCGAATCCCTTGAAAAATAAGGAAGAGAAATAGAAAGAAACAGAAATCATGCATAGGTGCAGTAGTGGCTCTTCACATGGCGGCAACATGGTCGGCGGCCCATGCTCGTGCGGTGTCCTTCACCACACCCAGTCCAACTCCTCCTTCTCCACGCTGTTCTCCATGCCCAATCATCACAAGCCGTACGATCATATTCATCACGAAGCATCGTACGATCATCATCACATGTACCAGTTCGCATCCCCATCTTCCTCCGTTGATTGCACTCTCTCTCTAGGAACTCCCTCCACCCGTTTGACGGACAACGACGTCGTTTCCGACGACAGGCATAGCCGCAACGGTGAGCGGCGCTCCGGTAACTGCGTTTCCAACTTCTGCTGGGACTTGTTGCAGCCCAATAAGTCATCGCCGTCTTCCCATCACAAGAACAGCAACCGCGGTGGCAATATCAACGGCGTGACTAACGCCGGCAGCGGTAATAACGATCCCCTCCTCGCTCGCCGCTGCGCTAACTGTGACACCACCTCCACCCCGCTCTGGAGAAACGGTCCGAGAGGCCCCAAGGTATGCATCAAATTACAATAATGCCATTAACCATTTTAATTTTGTATTTTAATTTGGTAATGATGTGATTAATTACAAAGTTTATCGTAATAATATGATGGGATTTTAAACCTCTTGTCTGTAATCATTATCACCTATTCCCAAGTAGTCAACCCACCAATGATTTCTCCTTTCCTAAGCACTTTTTTTTCTTTAATTTTATTTTACATTAGTAATTATTTTTTGTTTTACGTTTTTGTTACTACTTTAGTCACTATGCAATGCCTGTGGAATTCGGTTCAAGAAAGAAGAGAGACGTGCCACGGCGGCGGCTGCCAGCGGCGGTGGTTCGAGTGTCATAGGAATGGAGTCTAACGGATACCACCACCATAACTCATGGATTCCACACTCACAGACCCAGAAAATGCCATGCTTTGGTAACGAGTTTCGGTTCATGGAGGACGACACTGCACACCACGAAAACGACATTAACGGCATCCCATTCCTTTCGTGGCGCCTCAACGTCACTGACAGACCAAGCCTCGTCCATGATTTCACAAGATAATCAACTCGTGAAGATGTTGAAGATTACTTACTTTATGTTGTTACTTAGTTTGTTTTTCTTTTTCTCAAGTGTCTTTCTTTTTCTTTTCTTTTTTATTTTTCGGTTTCTCTTGTTCTATTGAAGTTACATATAAATTACCCTACTACGACGTTTCTGTTATAAATGACGACCATGATGATTATGATTACGATGAGATTGCATGCGCGCCGTTTCATTAATTAAGTCGATTATTATATGAAATGGAAGTTTAAGTGAAATCTCACCTGTGGATCTGAAGTTCTTAGATTTTTACAGAATTTCTGGCAACTTCTTCTACCTGGGACGGGTGCATCTGATTGTCCAATGGCGATTATTGAATCACTGTGTTTCGACTTGGACCGGACATTACTGAGGGTTCAGTTCAGAGCATGAACATGATTTGTCCTTTTCTGATCATGTTCTGACCGTTCAAAACTTCAGATATTTCTGCAAATTTTGGTCCTTATAACTTTATATTTTTTTAGTAAATAATTTCTTGCCACCAAATAATTGAAAATTGTTTTGTTTGTAGACTTCAAAACAGTGAATTTAATGAGAGATGGAATGTTTTGATCATGCATGGCGATCGCCATGTGGTTTATAGAAGTCTCACGGGTCACGACATGGAGTGTTTCTGCTGGTCAAACTACTATATATGTAAATATACGTAGTGTTAAGGAGACTAAATTTTTTAAACTAAAATTGCAAACTAAATGATGTGATTGTAGATAATTGGATTATTAATTAAGTGTCGATTAACGTGTTTGTTTTTTATTGGTGACAGACACATCATTTGGTTTTGCAATTTGGTCTCCCTAGTATTTCTCTATAAATATATATATATATATATATTGTTAGGTTTAAATCCGTATTACCAACAGATGGAAAATAAATTTTAAAAAGGGAATTGTTAATGACACTTCAAAAATCTCAATCAACACTCCAAACTTACAATATTTGGAAAGAAACATACACTTATGAGGAGTGTAGAATGAGATTTTTGGAGTACCAATAACACTTACTTTAAAAAATGAAAAACAAAGTACATCAATTTGTATAATTCCAGTTTTACCTTTGTTTGTATGTTGTAAATTTTTGTACCTTCATCACATGCTCGATTCCTCTTGTGTTGCAACTTTGAATGGGTTCAGTTTTCTATAAGTTGCTACTGCAGAAAATATTTTTGATATGTCATTTTAGCTACAAGTCAAGGAATTGGACGTGGTGATGAGTAATGAGTATAATGTTAAGGAAGGAACAAATGGAAACCATATGGCCTCGTTTTTGTGTTGAATATTGGATTTTTAAGATATATTCAAGAAAAAAGAAGAAAAGATAGTGAGCAGCTTGATTGGATTAGAGAGGATAAGTTTTATTAATTCTAACCCAGTTCTATAGAAAAAGGATTTTTATATTTCATTCATCTGAGTATCTACTGGTAATAATACAAAATGAACCTAATGTAGAAGATTCAATACAATGAATCTTTGAGTGCTCACGAATAAATCTTCCATACAATGAACCTAATAAAGAAGATTCAATGAACCTAATTTAGAAGATTACGAAGAGAGATTTTGGGGAGTGACAAGTTTGGAACAAAGAAGCCAATCACCCAATGCCACTTTTTCACAAACAAAGTGATAATCAAGCTCGATATGGCGAATGCAAGCGTTAGAAAAAAAAAAAAAAAAAAAAACAGGATTAGCAGCCATGTAAGGGCACTGAGGTTATCACAATAGAGAAGCACTGGAAACTCCAATGAGACACCGAGTTCCTAAAGTAAGATAACCATTTTTTTTTTCTTTATGCACAAGAGTGAGACAACGATCGGTATTCAAGCTCAGCACTGGAACGAGCAATAATGGGCTGAGTTTGGAGCACTAGAAGATAAGATTAGAGCCCAAATAAACAACATAACCACTGGTAGTAACGGTTAGTATTCCGACAACCTGCCCAATCGGCATGATCAAAAGGCCATGAGACGGTCAGTACGAGACTAGAGTGACAAGAGGCCATGATCAAAATTCCCTTTGACATATCGGAGAATGCGCTTAGCTGCAATGAGGTGAGGAGCATGGGGAGCACTCATGAACTGGGCAACTGTGTTAACAACATAAGGCAATATTCAGGCGAGATAAGATAAAATGCTGAAGACAACCAACAAGCTCACATAACTCAATGGGAGACACAAGTAGACGATCGTCTGTAAAAGATATTTGTATCTATTTATTAATACTATACATTTGTGTGTCGGTCTGGTTGCAACATTATTAGCAATTCACTTATAATATGCTTCGTGCATCTATTTATTAATATTATATATTGGTAAATAGAACATAAACCATGTAGTCCATTCATACAAATTTGTAATTCCAAATGATATTTTAATATATGTGTATTTATTTATCAATACATACCAAACACGTTACCCTCACTCTAAAAATTTTAATGGATAATCCTTCATTCTAACTATTTTCTTACTCAATGAGGTCCACTATGTGTGCATTTTCCTTTTACTTATGTCCTAGGGCTACTTCCATTCCATGGGGACAGGATTCACAAGAAAATCGTATGGGCTTAGGAGAGCAGAGAATAGTTGGGCTTAGGGCATGAATTTAGCCCAGAAAATATTTGGGCCACGTTTGGTTAATGTCTTATTCACATTCTCTGTTCTGTCCTGTCCTCCCCGTTGTCTTCTTCTCTCCCGCCACCTCTTCCACTAAAACCCTAAACCCTAAATTACCAGAACCTTTACCAGTCACCAAAACTACCCCGTTTCAGCTCCCAGAGCAGAACCAAAGCCAGCGAAGAACAATGGAGCCCGCTACGCTGACGAACTCAATGGACCTAAAGATTGGGGAGCTCTTGAAAGAGGTCCAGCTCGACTATTCACTCACCTTCACCAAGGCCGTCGACGACGCCGTTTCAGTCATCAAAAGAGCCATCGACAAAATCCCAGAAGGCCTCAATGTTCGTTTTCTTTCCACAGGCTATCATTCTGCAATCGGATTCTTGAACTTCTGATTGGTTGCTGATATAATCTTTCATTTTAACCTCGAATTTTTGAAATTTTGAAAAGTGGGATTTTTTTTTTTTTTTTTTTTTTGGGATGAAATTTTTTTTGGCCATTTGCGTTGTACTCATGTGTGATGTTTGGATTGAAAACTTGGCAGGTTACAGCTGATGAAGCGCGGGGATTCGTCAGGGACATTGGCGCTGACAAGGTCGAATTCGCGTTTAAGAAGCCGAAATCTATTGAAATTGGTGGGAGTTATGCCATACAGTGCGTTGTAAAACCTGAAGTTAATGTGGACCTCTTCGTTCGGATGCCCAAGGTATCGAAATACCCATATCGTAATTGTAATATGTTGGTTCGACAATAAAAAGAAATGTGTTAGTTCTTATTGTTATTGATTGATTATAATCAAATGTTAAAGCTTAAGAATAAAACAAGTCTCAACTTCTTTTCTTTCTAAAACTTAATTTTGTTGTTTCAGGAGTGTTTCCATGAGAAAGACTATTTGAATTACCGGTACCATGCGAAAAGGTGCCTGTACCTTTGTGTAATAAAAAAGTTTTTGAAGTCTTCTTCATTAGTTGAATGGTCCACCTTACAGAATGAAGCCCGGAAACCTGTATTGATTGTCTATCCAGGTTGGTTTTCTGTAGCACCGTTTTCAATTTATGTTTTTCTTCCTTAAACTTGAGAAAGCAAATATATCCGTTTCTTTGGTGCCTGATAAATGCAACTTTTGAATTACAAATAAATTGGTGTCACAGGCGTAAAACTTGTCGAAGTCCCTGAGTTTTGTGTAAGGATAATTCCTACAGCACCATCCCTTTTCAACATTCCAAAGTTGCACCTAGAGCGCAATAATGTTCGTGCTCTAAATCAAGGTAAATTATGTTATTGATTTTGGGCTATTTGATGATGTGTTCGACTTTCAGATGCTTATCTATATTTTTAACCTTTTTTTTTTTTTTAGGGGGAGTTCCTCAGGCTACTCCTAAGTACAATAGTAGTATTTTGGAAGACATGCTCATTGAAGATACTGAAGAAATTCTCAAGAAAACTTTTCTCGGGTGGAAAGAATTACAAGAGGCATTAATTTTGCTGAAGGTATAAAGCCATCACTCCTTTGCCACTTTAAAAGTACTAATGCTGTAGCAGCGTGACAATGGTTTTTCTTATTGATCTAGGTCTGGGCTCGTCGGAGGACACCAATATATGCTTATGATTGCTTGGGTGGATATCTGATCTCTGTCATATTGTCATACCTTGTGGATAGGAATCGTATTAAAAAGTCAATGACGACAATGCACATATTCCGTTTTACCCTGAGCTTCCTTGGTATGATTATTCTTTACTTTGGCCACAAAAACTTGCTTAAGTGACATCAAACCTAGTTGTAGACTCGGGTTCATCTTACACGTGTCCCATTTTGACATATATGCACTTTTGTCCCGTAGCACAATTGATTTTAACAGTGGGGATTGATGAAAATTAAATGGGTTTATTACACTGTTGAGCTTGGAACAGAAAAAGGAAGCAATCTGCTACAAACTATACAACGTTACCTGTCACTTATATAAGCATATTTGGCAGAAATACTATTTACTTTGAATATTGTTATTAGAATTTAGCACTGAAAAAAAGTCATCATGCACTCCTCCCTCTCGCATTATTTCATGAGGGAGGAGTGCATGATGACCTTTTGGAGTACCAGCAGCTCCCTTTAATTTTACAGGATTTTGTACCTTATTATACAAGGAAACGTCGATCTAAAACTTATTTGAATCACACATATAGAACTGTGGTAATGATTATACATACTATTCTCACTTCATGTGCAGCCAATTCAGAACTTTGGAAACATGGGCTCTACTTTACACCGAAAGACCAAAAAGCTATTCCAAAGGAGGTCTGCTATTTACTGGATATTATGCAATTAATTATGTTTTTCACTTGCTTTTTGTTGTTATTGTTCCACACTCTGAAGTCATTGTTGGTTTTCTTGTTTTATGCCTGCATCTGTTTTCCTTAGATGATTGCTAGAAAAAAACTATGAAAGAGAAAGACAACATGGGTAGCGAGATCAAATGACTGTATTTGTTATATTGTCAGTCTTGAGACTTGAAAAACTATGTGCTCATTGAGAAGTTTGTTAATGTCTCTAGTCAGTTTTAATGATTTGAAAGTGTTTTTTTTTTTGGACTGAAGCTGTGCAATAATCTTTACAAGAATCCCTCAGTGCTTGGTTATTACTTTAGTGTCCATTTTGAACTTGTACAAAATGCTCCCCTCTATTGCATTTTACTGATGTTAGTTAAGCATGATCTGTGGGAATGCAGAAAAGGTTGCCTCTTAAAGAATCATTTCCAGTTGTTATATGTAGTCCAGCTACAAACTTTAATTTGGCCTTCCGAATGACAAGGGCTGGATTTCTCGAGGTACTAATTGGCATTTAAATGTTGCTCCATAATCATTGTATGTGGCGCACACTAAATTAACCTCTTTAAAAATAATGTATTTCTCTTTGTTTCAGCTCCAAGATGAGTCTGCTTCGACACTTACATGCATAGACAAATGTAGAGATGGTGGGTTTGAAGAAATTTTTATGACCACGGTGGACTATCCTGTAAAATATGACCACATCATAAGGTATAATTTTTTATTTTATTTTAATGTGGTTCATATTGAAGTTGTCTTTAGTGCGTACAATGACCTTGTGTTAGCTTTGAATGTGATATTGCATTATACCTTCTTTCCTGTCCTGCTTGTGGTTTGATTTCCCGTTTTGTTTACATGTTTGCTATTTCAGGTTGAACTTAAAGGGGAACAGTGCAGTTTATGCATCAGGATTCTGCTTGGACGATGAATGTTGGAGATTATATGAGCAGAAGGTGCAGAGTGTTTTAATTCAAGGGTTGAGTGACAGAGTGAAGAATGTACGTGTTACCTGGAGAAATATGTTATCAGACCGCATCATAAAAAATGTACGTCACCAAGATCTTAACTTTAGCATCTCATATCAAACGTACATTTATGTACTTGACCAATTTGTATAAATTTGGCTTGTGACTCCAGGGATTGTCAACCCTCAATGCGGAGCCATTGCTTATTGGAATTTCCGTAAGCTCCATAGAGAAAGCTTTTAGGCTTGTTGATATTGGTCCAGATGCTGATAACAAAGCGGAGGTATATGTGTACCTGTTTGGAATCATACATTGATTTCTTCTTTTGATGCATCCATTGAGTTTACTTATGTTCTGTGTAGGCCCTCAAATTCCGCAAGTTCTGGGGGGAAAAGTCTGAGCTCAGGAGATTTAAAGATGGTAAAATTGCAGAAAGCACAGGTAGTCATTTGTTTTGGCTTTTTTCCTTCTTTACTTGATGTTAGTTGTATCAATATCATTTACATGCTTTCCTTGCTCTTGCTAAAATCAACTGTCAAGATGACTAAAATGTTGACACTGTTTGCACATTCCTTAGTTTGGGAAAGTGAGCAATGGAAAAGACATATCATCTTACAAAGGATTTCTGAGTATGTGCTTCTGCGACATCTTTCTGTATCAAAAGAGAATATAATGCACATCGTGGATCAACTTGATTTCTCTTTGCTATATGGTACTGGAGGTAATTAGAACAATTCTTAGCGTCTTTCTATGCAATTTTTATATAATTATCTTTTTTGTTTTATTTTTTTCTTTATGGTAGCCTTTCAATTCTTTCAGATCCTGTATCATCTTCTGGGAATTTGCTTGGGGCATTTGAAATTCTATCGAAGCGCTTGCGGCTTCTTGAAGACATTCCACTGAAGGTTTCTACTGTGCAGCCCCTAGATTCAGGTATAATTGCGTTGCTGGAAAAATCAATTTTAAATGCCTAGCTTGAATTCTCTATTCCAAATATTTGATTATTCACTATTATATTATGATATTTGTGGATGTGATATTATGTGTGTTTGGGATAAAAAAGTATTTAAAGCTCTGCTATCATTAAAATCGACCCTCTTGTTTTCATAATTGTACTTTTGAAAAATATTCTGGAATGTTCTTATTATCTTATCCCTTTTCCTTCTCTGTATGACTCATCAAAAGTTCTTCGATGTTTAGATTAAGGTTTGTTTCACTACAAATGTGCTCACATGCACATATGCTCTAAAGTGTTGGGGTAAATTTGAAAACAATTTTTTTCTGAAAAAAAACAATAAGTCATATGGCTTGCAAAGGTTACTCGTAATTTCTTTTGAAATGGTAAATATAATTCCAATTTCATATGGATTTTCCATCACCCTGTTTGCTACCATATGCAGCTTTCAGGTTTTCTTCTGTATTCCCACCTGAACCTCATCCGCTTGCTAATGAGAAGGGTGCTTTTGTAAGATTACATAGGTTCACTCCTTCCTGCATTCGTCCGCTGGAAGCTATGATCCAGGCATGCCACAAAACCCAATAACTGTTAAGAATTCCATTGTTTATTATATTTCCGTCAGTTAATGAAGCCTTATTACTTGATCTATTTCAGCTGGAAGGTTCTGGAAACTGGCCAATGGATGATCTAGCAATTGAGAAAACTAAATCTGCGTTCCTTCTCAAGATTGGAGAGAGGTGGGCAAACTGGGATTACTAATTCTCAATTTGATTTTACTGTCTATTGAATAGTTATCTGATGATGCTATCATATGGCAGTCTCCAGAATAATTGGGGGATGACGTGTACAGCTACGGAGGATGATGTGGATGTTTTTGTTTCTGGATATGCATTTCGCCTAAAAATTTGGCATGAGAGAGGCCTGACTTTGTTGAGACGGGAAAGTAAGAACTCTTGACTCATGTATTATTACATATTCACCACTGGGATGTTAGATTCTTTTTCCCCTTATTGATAATGATGATGTCAGATTCTTTTGATGCTGATCTCTTCAACTTCTTTCTGACTGCAGCTGGAAATGATCTAGTGAAGCAGGTCTCTAATACGGACAGAGAACTTTATTTCCGGAGTCAACATTCCAGCATGATTAATGGATTACAGGGTTGTTATGCAGCATACGGGCCAGTTGTTAGGTGAGCTTTAGCATTTGCATTCTCATTCTCATTTATCTATTCTTGTTTTTGTTGAAAAACCCGCACACTGGACCTTGTTCTTTGATGTAACCAACGGCAATAGACTAAACTAGCAAATATAGAAAACTTAGAAACACACAAGAATTATACTGGTTCGGCAGAACTTATGCCTACGTCCAGTTGTGATTTCCCTAGGTAGAGAAATCACCACTTCTTTGATTAATAATAGAGATTACAGAACTTATGCAAACCCTAGAACTAATCTCAAAACTCTCTGCTGTTTTTCTGTTTTCTCTCTGCAGAAAATCAGCCTTGCCGCACCCTATTTATAGATATAGGGTTGGCTTACATGTCCTTTACAGATTATAATTCCTATTCTAAGTGGAATAGGAAATTAGACTTCCTTTCCAATTCCAAATAGACTTCTAGGGTTTCTAATCTAAATTGAATAAGGAAACTAAGATTCTTTCCTAGCCCTTTTAGGAGAAGAATTGGTGCACCCTTTCCCTAAAACAATCCTAAACAGAAAAGGACACAAATTGACGAGCCAAAAAACTAACAATCTCCACCTTGGTGAGTCAAACCAAGTCTTGATCGTTTGCACCCCAGAGTATCTTTGAACCTTCTTGAAGTAGCTCTGGAAAACTTCAAGAGTCTTCACCTTGGCAACCTCCTTCTTGCCTCATTGCACCTCAGGTGAGGAGGTGCTCCACTTTAATCAATCAACGAGATTGATCAAGTTCAAACAATGCTTGAACTTCTTGGCCGGCACTATCTTTGTAAGGAAATCTGCGGCATTGTCATCCGTATGAACCTTTTCAATCCAAATTTCCTTAGACTCCACCCAATCTCTGATTCTGTGATACCTTGCTTCAATGTGCTTTGATCTTCCAGAAAAAACCTGATTCTTTGCCAAGTGAATGGCACTTTGACTATCACACTTAAGCTTCACACAATCTTGAGTGATTCCCATTTGACTTACCAAGCCACTAAGCCAAATTGCTTCCTTTCCAGCTTCGGCCAATGCAATATACTCTGCCTCTGTGGTCGATAAAGCTGTAATTGGTTGCAGTAGTGCCCTCCAACTGATTGGTCCTCCTGCGCATGTAAACACATAACCCGAAGTTGACCTTCTCTTGTCCAAGTCCCCTGCATAATCGGCATCCACATATCCTAACACCCCTGCATTTTCCTTTTGCTTCTCAAACATAATCCTTTGTCGCCAAGAACCCTTCAAATAACGCAAAATCCACTTGACTACATCCCAATGTTGCTTTCCTGGATTTGCCATGTATCTGGAAACAACACTGATTGCTTGAGCTATGTCAGGACGTGTGCATACCATTGCATACATGAGGCAGCCCACGGCATTAGCATAAGGCACCTTCTTCATTTCTTGTTGCTCTTCCTCGGACGTAGGACACTGTTGTCCACTTAACCTAAAGTGAGCTGCCAAAGGAGTCGAAACTACCTTTGCTTCTTGCATGTTGAACTTCTCAAGAACCTTCTGAATATACTTGGCTTGTGATATCCAAATCCTTCCAGCGGTCCTATCTCTCTGAATTTCCATGCCAAGGATCTTCTGTGCGGCACCTAGATCCTTCATGTCGAACTCCTCGCTCAACATCCTTTTCAAGTCTTGAATTCTAGACTTGTCTTGACAAGCAATTAACATGTCATCCACATATAGCAATAGCAATATGATCATCCCATCTTGGAACACATGATAGTACACACAACAGTCATACAAACACCTTCTAAAATTAATTTTCAGCATGAATGAATCAAACCTCTTGTACCACTGTCTTGGAGACTGTTTCAGGCCATACAGGGACTTCCTTAGCTGACATACTAGGTTTTCTTTCCCATATTCAACAAACCCTTCTGGTTGAGCCATGAATATCGTCTCCTCTAAATCCCCATGAAGAAACGCCGTCTTCACATCCATCTGCTCAATCTCCATGTCATGCTGAGCTGCCATTGCTAAAAGCAATCGGATAGAAGTATGCTTGACTACAGGTGAAAAGATCTCATCATAATCCACCCCTTCCTTTTGCGAGTACCCCTTAGCCACGAGCCTTGCTTTGAATCTCACGGCATCTTGTTCATGTAGTCCTTCCTTTTTCCTAAATACCCACTTGCATCCAACTAGCTTTCTGTCTTTGGGTTTAGGAACCAACTCCCAAACAGAGTTCTTGTAAAGAGACTCCATCTCCTCTGTCATAGCACTTATCCAACTATCTCGCTCATCACTTGCTATAGCTTCTCGATAAGTAGTCGGATCTCCTTGACTAATGTTAAGTGCATAATTAACTTCGTTTTGGTCAAACCCAAACCTGTCAAGTTTCTTCTTGTTCCGCTTAGGTTTGTCCAGTGCTATGCATCTTTGGAATGCAGGTGGATTGTTGGGTGGAGTTTGACTCCTTTGGGATATCTGGCGGATTGGAGTACCTTCAATCTGTCCTATTTCTTGCTCCACCTGATTCCTAACTGGTGAATGATGCTGATGCTCTTCTTCTTCCTCAAAACCATCAGATTCGGCTTCTTGCTCAATTTGCTCCACCTGAGCTTCTTCTTCATCTGAACTGATTAATGGAATCTTTGTTGCTTCAATTTCAGCATCATCCTTCTTCTCCCTACTGCTCTCGACTTTATTCAGAGGCATGGTTGTCTCATCAAAGACAACATCTCGACTGACAACCTTTTTCCTGTTGTTGAAATCCCAAAGCTTGAAACCCTTCACTCCTTTCTCAAAACCTAGGAATATGCAAGGTATAGACTTCGGTTTTAGCTTGGACCTTTCATCACTTGGAATATGCGCATAAGCACTACAGCCGAACACCCTGAGCTTGGAATAATCCACCGGCTTCTCAGACCATACCTCTTCTGCACTCTTAAAACCGAGAACTGTAGATGGTGATCTGTTAATCAAATAACTTGCATGATTAACAGCCTCTGCCCAAAAACTATCAGGCAATCCTGCATGAAATCGCATGCTCCTTTCTCTCTCCATGAGAGTTCGGTTCATCCTCTCAGCAGCTCCATTTTGTTGGGGATTCTTCTTTACTGTGAAGTGCCTTATGATGCCTTCCTGCTTGCAGTAATCGGTGAACTCCTTACTTGTATATTCACCTCCATTGTCACTTCTCAGATACTTGATCTTTCTTCCAGTTTGATTCTCGGTTTCTGTTTTCCATTCCTTGAACTTTGCAAAAACCTCGGATTTCTGCTTCATGAAATAAATCCAAATCTTCCTAGAAAAATCATCCATGAAAGTAACAAAATACCTGGCTCCACCATTTGATTTAGTTGGAGCAGGACCCCAAACATCTGAGTGAATATAGCTGAGTCGCTCCTTACTTCGGCTATCTGCACTGCTACTTGCGAATGATACCTTTCTTTGCTTCCCAAGAACACAGTATTCACAAAAGTCCAGTTTGCAAGCTGACACGCCTTCCAACAGGCCTTGCTTGTGTAATTCTTGCAATCCCTTCTGGCTTATGTGCCCGAGCCTATGATGCCATAGTTCAGTCTTGTCTTCTATACTTTGATTTACAGAAACAGCTGCTCCCCCGACTATAGTGGTCCCAATTAACTTATACAACTTATTGGGTTGTAGGTCACCCCGCATTACCACTAGCGATCCTTTGGTTACCCTGAGTCTTCCTTTTTTAGATTTGTACCCATAACCGGCCTCATCTAAAGTACCCAAGGAAATCAAATTCTTTCTTAGTCTAGGGACATACCTGACGTTCCCCAAAGCTCGTATCATCCCATCGAACATTCTGATTCGAACAGTGCCGATTCCTCTTACAGGACATGAAGAATCATCCCCCATTAAGACTTCCCCGCTGCTGACTTCTTTGTAAGTATCGAACCATTCTTTTACTGCACACATATGAAACGTGCATCCAGTATCCAAAATCCAATTGAAAGCCTTGGAGTCCGATGTTACCGAAAGAAGTTCCCCGTCACTCTCATGTTCGGTGACTGCACTAGCGGAACCTGAGCTTCCTTCCATCTTGGCTTTCTTTTCTTTCCAAATCTTGCAGTTCCTCTTCCAATGATCGGCTGAACCACATTCGAAGCAACCTTCCTTCTTTTCCTTTTTCTTCTTGGATTTTGACCTACCTCTGTTGCCAGTTTTCTCTTCCCTTGTCTTTTCCCGCCCCCTCTCCTTGCCTTTGGCATAAAGGCCTTGAGAGCTTTCAGTTATATCATCTAGTTTAGCATATGACTGAAGAGCTTGAATTACGTCTTCAAGCTTCAAGGACTCTTTTCCAAACATTAGAGTTATTCGAAAGTGCTTGAAAGACGAAGGTAGAGACCTTAGCAGGATGATAGCCATATCATCATCTTTGTAAGTTTCTTCGACTTTCTGAAGATTAGCTATGCAATTCTGGAACCTGCATACGTGATCTTCAATATCACCTCCTTCTTCTAGTCGAAGCCCGAATAGTTCATCCTTTAGAAAAAGTTTATTGGACACGGTTTTTCCCATATAAACATTCTCCAATTTTTCCCATGCTTCCTGGGCAGACATCTTTTCAGTGATGTGTGACCGAACTGATCTTGTGAGATGGATCTCGATGGAACTCTTGGCCTTCTTGAGAACCTTATTCCATGCTGCTTCTGTCATGCTTTCCGGCTTCTTACCATCAAGTGCATCATCCAAATCCTGCTGTATCAGTACGTTCTTCATCATCCTTTGCCAGTCCGTGAAGTCATCCTTGCCGTCAAAGGGTTTTAACGCAGGTCCTTGATCCGCATTCATCTTCCCTTTTAACATCGTAGAACACCTTGATCCTAGCTCTGATACCAAATTGTCACATCCCCGCCCGGGCGGCACCACTTCCCGGGCCCGATCCACCACCGTAGCACGATATTGTCCGCTTTGGGCCCCAACCACGCCCTCACGGTTTTGTTTCTGGGAACTCACACGAGAACTTCCCGATGGGTCACCCATCCTGGGAGTGCTCTCGTGCGCTACTCGCTTAACTTCAGAGTTCCCATGGAACTCGAAGCCAGTGAGCTCCCAAAAGGCCTCGTGCTAGGTAGGGATGGGAATATACATTTAAGGATCACTCCCCTGGGCGATGTGGGATGTCACAATCCACCCCCCCTTAGGGGCCCGACGTCCTCGTCGGCACACACGCGACCAGGGTTAGGCTCTGATACCAAATTGTTGAAAAACCCGCACACTGGACCTTGTTCTTTGATGTAACCAACGGCAATAGACTAAACTAGCAAATATAGAAAACTTAGAAACACACAAGAATTATACTGGTTCGGCAGAACTTATGCCTACGTCCAGTTGTGATTTCCCTAGGTAGAGAAATCACCACTTCTTTGATTAATAATAGAGATTACAGAACTTATGCAAACCCTAGAACTAATCTCAAAACTCTCTGCTGTTTTTCTGTTTTCTCTCTGCAGAAAATCAGCCTTGCCGCACCCTATTTATAGATATAGGGTTGGCTTACATGTCCTTTACAGATTATAATTCCTATTCTAAGTGGAATAGGAAATTAGACTTCCTTTCCAATTCCAAATAGACTTCTAGGGTTTCTAATCTAAATTGAATAAGGAAACTAAGATTCTTTCCTAGCCCTTTTAGGAGAAGAATTGGTGCACCCTTTCCCTAAAACAATCCTAAACAGAAAAGGACACAAATTGACGAGCCAAAAAAACTAACAGTTTTTATCTGTTACTGCATATAACCTTTTTGGTTTCATGTGAAGGCTTGCAAAACGGTGGGTAGCTTCACATCTGTTTTCGGCTTGCTTGGGGGAGGAGGCAATTGAACTATTGGTTGCATACGTCTTTTTGAAGCCTTTACCATTCAATGCTCCATGCTCACGAATCACTGGATTTTTGAGGTTGATATTTATATAACTCATTTCCAGGGCATTTTGATAGTTCTCATTGACACTTCTGCTTTAAAAGATAGATTCTCTAACTGCTTGGTTTCACTTTTGAATTGTGAACATCAAGTTACATATTTCGAAATTATCTGGTAATTAGAAATACTATGGTGTAGCACATACATGCACATGCACACAAGAATTATTGCCAAACTTTAATGGTGTATTTCACACTCTCATGTGCATGGTAATTCCATCAACAGGTTCCTACGATTACTATCAGATTATGACTGGAATTTTTCTGCATTAATTGTCGACATAAACAATGATTTGACTCCAAAAGATATGCAAGAGATAAATGTAAGTTCTGCTGCTAACTAAGAAACTCTGATCCAATCTCTTTGTTTCCTTGATTTTATTATTTTCTTTTTTTCAGTTACAGTTTTATTATTTCTTGACTGCTACTAACTGCAGTTCAATTTCAGGATAATTTCATGTCAAGTAGAAAAACTAACGAAGAAAATGTGCTAAGTGTAATCCCAGCAATGTTCTTGGCTACAACTTACGACAAGGCATCTGAGGCCTGGACCAGATTCTCACCAAACTTGATGGTTAGTTTAATTGGTGTCTTTTTCAACAATGTTCATTTTCTTTGGTAAATTTTTTACGTTCTCTCTAGTAATCAGGCCTGTGATACCTTTTCCCTGAGCTGATCCTGCTTATTTTACAAATTTTCCTGGCATTTCAATGCATTCCATTTGTATTAGGATTTAGGATGCATTCTCAATTCTTCAGTCATGTCAGAATATTAGTTCGAAACTCAGTTCCATGAAATTGTTAACTATAAACATAGAGGACTTTCTTTTTTTCTTTTGGTGATTGTAATAAAAATTAAGACTTGATATATTGGCCGACAGAACATTCAAACGAATAATCTCCCATAGAATTTGTGAGGGCTGGCACTCTGGAAATCCGAGTGCAGCAACTCCTTTTATTGATGTAGTATTTAGTATTGCTGATGTACATTTTGATATTGTTGAATATGAAAGGAGTTAAAAAGGTTGATGGCTTATGCTGGAAGCAGTGCAAAGTTGTTGACCAAACTGATATCGGAGGATCATGATGATAAGCATAGATGGGAGGTGAGCTTGTTAAATTTTACTGGTTGTGATCCGTGAATTGTTTTACCTTGATGCACGTGTGATATATGCAAACTATTAATGTTTATTTTTTGGCTTGCAGTGCCTTTTTCGAACTCCTTTGAACAATTATGACGCAGTTATTCTTCTTCACAGAGAAAAATTACCTTACCCCCAACATCTTCTCTTTCCATCCGAATTAAATCAAGGTATATTCTTTATGTTACCTGGATGTTTGCTCGGCCTCAGCTTTTTGTTGTTCTCTCTCCTTTTCTAGCATACCATACTCAAATATGGTATATGCGCTAAGTTCTAATGCATATTTACGCAGGTGCAGGGGTACATGTGGCATGTGGGAATGCGAGCAACGTTTTCCACCCATTTCTGTTGCCTGGAGACATGAAAGGAAATTCGGAGGCACTAAGAAATAAGCTATTGGTAAACTTTGATCCACTGAGGTGCTATGTCGGGGATCTAGAGGCAAGTTTTATGTGATAACTTAATTTTAACCATGATGCCGTGGCTTTCATTTTTATGTTTTTAATGACTGCCGTCTTTGTTTACATCCTCGTGTCTTGAATGTAGAAAGAGTACCCCAACACCTTCAAGCTATGGTATGATTCTCTGGGTGGTGATGCTGTTGGCATAACGTGGGGGAGATATGGTTCAAAGGTATAATTGGATCTGTTCCAGCTGAATAAATGTGCATTCCAAATCGACGTTGAAAGTTCCTAAAAAATTGTTTGCTATCTACACTTCCTAACCAGTTGTATTTTCGGATCCTAATATTTGCAGAAACGAGGGCGGGAAGAAGAAGCAGAGGAGGTGAAAGATCCAACTGGTTTATTAAAAAACATCGGTGAAGTAGGAACAGGATTTGTGAGAGGGGTTTATCTTCTCAAAGCCCCAAGGCTCACGAGTTAACTCTGTTTATACTCTAAAACGCTCAAAGCTTCACGGGTGACAACAATTTTCTTTGTGATGCTGCTTTTCGACATGGTAAGAAATCCTCGGCGCGCCCCTCTGACAATACTCATAACAGAGAGATAAATTACCCAGTTAGGGATTCCCGTTTGTAACTGGTAACAAGGTTACGAAAGGAAACGTATTTGTATGGTTGTATGTCAGCCATGAGAATTTGAAAATCTGAATCTGTATTATGTTACAGTTAACTGCCTGAGAGCAGCATTTTTGTTGATGATAAATTCGATTGAACTGTTAGTTAGAAAGGTTAATACTCGTATTTTTCTTTTCCGAAAGAAGATATTACCGTGTCAAATAGTGTATTCTTTTAACTGGGTAACGTAGAAAGAGCGTTTACACTTGCAACTGAGGTGGAAATTTTCACTTACAATTAGCCATGCTAACCAACAGAAGTGTGATAATTTAATGTGTTTTCATTAACATGTGCATCATTTCGAATCATTGTCAATCTACGATTTCAGCATCAAAGAGTTGAAATATCAATGACGTACGAGCGACCATCACCAAAATCATCATCAAAATGTTTAATGATGTGGTTAAAATAATTAAACAACCTCAGTTGAAGCGATTAACAACGGGTTTAAATCCCACAATTTAAAAAATGACCGGGTTAAGAGTTTGCGAAAATCGTAGATTCATCAGCCAGCTGACATGTTTCGAACAAGAACCCGCTCACCACTCCAAAACAACAGTTAGACTGCTTCCTGAATGAGTTTCTCTGTAAGTTCTTTAGGCAATCCCATAACCGTGTCAGTCGTCCCTATCTGCAGCAAACCAAATGAAGCACATTGCAAACAAATTTGTGAGAAGTTAGAATCCTTCACACCCTTGATGGACGGATCAAAAGACAAAGTATAAGCAGACGCGATGAAAAAAATATAGCAAGGCCAAAACTCGAGCATGTTTGGTTGCTAATTCACTTGGAATAAGAAAGAAAATTTAGAACCCATTAGCAAAGCGAACAAGGATGAAAGAAACGGTAGAAAGAAAGAGATAAAGACGACGAGGGGAGGAAAACTCTGTAAAGATGCATGAAGTGAATAGCAAGAGTAGACATGAAATAGAGAGATGAGAGAGAGCTAACCACTGCTTCTACAAACGGAGAAATCAATGGATGTTCCAGCATCAAACCACCAGCAACATTGAGCGTAATTCCCTCCTCTATCTGGCCAAACATCAGACTCATAAACCAGATTCAACAGAGAATAATAGTTCACAACGAAGCACCTAAAGTGATTTTGTATCCAAATTTACCAGGCTATGGATAACCTCCTCTGGTATGACATGAAAATAAACCTGCATCACGACATCAAACATATGCTATAATCCTTCCCAAACTAACCAATAAATTAAACGATATAACTATCGATCATCATTGTTGATTAAAAACTTGAACAAACAAAAAAGCTAGACAAGAAGGCTGCTCTTTAGCACAGGTCAGATAAAGAATGAGCTTTAAGCAGTGAAAGAACAAGTACCTCCGCTCTGCGCCAACCGCCTTTTCTTTTTCCGGTTTTAAGGTTGGTTACAAGTACAGATCCTATAACTTCTGCTTGACCGCCGGAATAGCCTGCAACCCATCCATAAAGACTTGACCACTACATATCCATTTGTGGTTTTAACAAAGGGAAAAAGATGGACAGTTGCCTTTGAAGCAAACCTTTGATAAACTTCCATGCTTCTTCCTTGCTGGATGGTTTTTCCCTTACTATCCCTTCATACACCACCACCTCAAAATCAATAAAGATTTTGTAGTGAGAAACAACCTTAACTACAAAACACATTCCCTACAAGAGAGATTCACTAAAAAAGCAAAACTGTTTCCGATGTTTTTACCGGTAACATGTTTTTTGAATAGTGAAAAGGGAGCTTTTATTGCCACTCCAAAATAGTCATCTCGTCTTGCAATCCACACTTTTTTGGAGTGCCAATAACTTCTCCAGGTGAAACGCCAATTAAGAATAGGATTTATGAGAGTCATGGTTATATGGGTCCACTAATACTGTGTGATTTCCATAATGTATGAGAAAGTAACACATATATTCCAGTAATCTTACTGCATTAAGATTAATCTGTTAAATTAATTAACATGAACAAATATATAAGAAAGTAACACATATTCACATGAAAAGTTGAAAAACATGAACAAATATTACTTATAAACGCATACCGTGTCTGCGGTAACCAACAGTGTTGCAGGAGCATCCCCATCCAATTGTCTATCACTTTGGAGCCTTGAAATAATGGCATCTGCCTAACAAAAAATAAAGGCAAAACACACTTCTATCGTAAAAATTGGCTTATGGGTTAGGTCAGTTGGCCATGACAGCGTTGAATTCAAATCCCGTTTAGAGTAGTTTAAATTATTGCTTTGTACCATAAAATATAAAAGTAGAGAAAACGTACTTTGGCCTCAGCTAAAACCATGACCAGTTCTTCAGGCTTATCCATCCTTATACTTTTTTCATCAATATCTGCAGTCTAAAACCCACACAACCAAATCAGCAACTTGAAAAGCTAATCCATTTAACCAAGAAAAAAGATTGATGCCTTGGTATAATTACAATGTACCATGACCGTGAACCGGTGTCCCATCTCCGCCAGTATTTGCCGGCGCGCCGCAGACGCCGACCCGAGAATTATCTGTCGCAAAAAAGATCAGAAATTGCTGCAAATTTTCACAGCTAATCCAACCGTAGAAGCTAGATTGGCGATGGGATTGTCATTTATTCGGGATTTAGCGACGAACCTGAAATGACATATTTGTTGTCCTGCGTTCACTTTCTGTTTCTGCTTTCTCGGAGAGAGAAGAACTTGCAACAGTATTGGGTATGAGTCTGCACTTTCTATTTTGGGCCTAACGGGTTCAAGCTGACCCGGTTCACTTCGGATTTTCAACCGAATATATCCTACAGAAGGAAACGACGTCGTATGTAGTCATCGCCGCCTTGGCGCCTTCTACCTTCTTCCCCAAGTCGTCGCCTCAGTTTTCAGTTTACCTCGTTTTTAACCTTCTCTCAGCTACTGCGCCCCTTGGTGCTCCAAACACTGCAACGATGTCGTCTTCGGGATTACACACAGAATTTTGAAATCAAGCGCGACGATGAGTTCTTGCAGCGGAAGAAGAATTTCGGGAGTGGCAGCTTCGTGGCGAATTTGAGGGATCACATTCATGAATTTCTTCATGCTTCAATGGACGAGCACAGAACTTGCTTGAAAGAGACAGTGCGGAAGGTACGATTTTACCCCCCCTCTCGTTTGCTTTGCAATGGAAGATTTATGTCTGTGAATTGTTGGGCAGCTTGGGAAATAAATTTGGTTTTTGGTCCAAAGCAGATGTTTGAAAGGGCAAAACTTTACAGAGAAAACAGTGGCGGCGGACCAAACGAAGGCGAAAAGTCCCTGCCTTTGCAAACAACTACAGATTAGGAAGATTTTGCAAGGTTTTAATTTTTATTTTTTGGGTTGCAGAGAAAAAGAGTAAGTGTAAGACAAATTTGATATCTTTATCTTAGCATCTGTATATGCTGTGTTTGAAACAAGTGTGTGATGAACGACAATGAAATGCTAGATGTGGGTATCACAATGACTTCATATTTCCTTCAAGGATATTGATATTCACACACCTATTTTTACTTCTCACACCCTTGTTAATTTTTGGTCATCTTCTTCGATTCATTCGATCAAACGGCCAAACGGCCGAAAATTGAGAGAGAGGTATGTGAGAAGTAACAATGGTGTGTGAATAACACTACACTTAATCAATTGCTAAAAATTGTCCATGGCCGTGTGAGTGACTGAAGGAGCAAACTTTTTTTCGATTGGAACAGTAGGTACTTGTTGGATGACATTGAATTTGATTTCACCGGTGCTACACTCAAACTTAGCAGTTTACATCCTTTATGATTCTGGTGTTTCATGTTAAAATTTTATTACCAAACTTAATGTAGTTAAGGATTTGGTAGCCACTACCCAGTTATAGTAATATGCTATTTAATGCCTCCTTTCTTTAATTTTTAATCTAAGATTTCTGCCCCCTAATCCCACCCCACCTTGTGCAACTAGAACTAAGATCATGTGCTAATAGTAGTACGTGCTTTCTTTAATTAATGATGATTATAAATAAATAAGCACTTGCATATGCAGAGATTCTTCCTTGTTACATGTGCAAACAAGACAAAGAAAAGTATTCTGCATCTAGAAGTTACAGGGAAAAGATCGGAGGGAATGGGAAGGGGTGCAGAGTTTGGTTAACTGCTAGATCCACTTCAAGAGGAAATTGGTGCTGTGTCTACCGCTGGAGGGCATCTTCCTTTAGAGCTTTAGGGTCTTTAGCCTGTAGAAGGTAATGGAAGTTATTATACACAAAGCTTGTAGTGTTTTCTGAGGTTAAGTGCTTTCTACTGTTGCAAATCTTCATCAATGAACAGATTTACTGCCAGTATATGAACAAAAGATATGAGCGACGTGCATGTTGATAGTGCAACTCCGCCTACTGAAGAGTGAGGTCAATGCAAAATGAAGAATGACAAGGTTAGTATCAAATTTTAGCCTGAAAGGTTCATGACCCTGCATTGAAATTGTTATATTTATATTTTAAGTATGGATTTAACACAGAAGTGAGTTTCGTTGATTGTTTTCGCTTATATATCTCGTGGACATACCTTAATGTCTGAATATGGTCAATTAAAGATTTAACAGCATTGTTTCTAGTCTTCATCTTATCAAGTAATAAGGAGAAAGAAGTGTATTACCTCTCTTCTCCACTGCTGATGTTGCTTTCTCCAACTTTCCTATACTTGGGAAGGGGAACTTTTCCTGACTCAATGCGGTTTATGTCCGCTAGAAGGATCTCATACTGCCTCTTCACTTCCTCTTCAGTCATCCCTCCAACAATTCTGGCTATATTACTCCAACGATCAGGGGTTTCCCTATCATATGTTGCCAGAGCGTTTTCAAACAATTTGTTTTGTTTGGCTGTCCAAGTTGAATTGGAGTGTGGGGAAGATAGCTTGCTAGGTGCCATTTTTCTGAGATATTAGAGCAAGATTAGTCGGGTGGAGCTCGAAGTGACGAGAAAGAAGTTTCGGTAGTATATTTTAAGAGAGATCGAATTTGGCCGATGAAAGGAAACGAAATTTAAAGGGAAAGCCTGAGGTTGAGAAACCGAATAGTACTCTAAGTCAAGAGATCATCAAAGAAGAGATCAAAGAATTACTGTTCGTGCAAATAAGGTGATGCAAGTTGGCAGACAAAATTTAAGGATATCATATTATAACACTTAATGTGCTTAGAATAAGAAGCAGAAACTAGAAACATAGGGATCTTTAAGACGGTCAATTGCTTTATTTTCAAGCTTTTTTTAATGATCGGAAGTACGATGATATAATATAATTAGTATATAAACATGTGGGATATCATAAATTACGACTTATATTAAATTGTTCTACTTCTAATCGCACTGACGCCTTTTATTATAAAATTTAAACACAATGTTGGGCTGTGCTGGTGGATAAGTAGGTACAAAAACTGTTGTTATAAACATGTGTATGTATGTATGTTTGCATCCTACGTTGTTAAGCATTTGTTTCCAAGACATTTCCACTTCTTAGCTCAACTCTTCCCCCATGTTTATGTCATTAGATAACTTCTTCCTGGTTTTCTGGAAGTGGCAGGATCACATTGTGGTTACTTACAAGAATCAAACCACTTTGTTTTCCTAGCTACCATATAAAATTTGATACACTCTAGTCCTACCTAAACATGTTCTAGTCACAGTGGACAAAGACTTCGGTGCATCGGAGTACTATTGTAGCGGTATCCCAAGTAAAAAAGGTATTGCTTTGTGGGAAAGTTAAAATGAATGAGAATGCATGATTGACTTGAAATGCCGTTACAATGGCATCCTCAGTGCAGGTAAGTTTCTATCCTCTTCCTCACTCTACAAACTAGAATTTGGTTTTTTGATTAACCAATGAGTTAAAAAAAAATCTTTGGAAGTGGTATGATTTGCATAGGGTTCCATTCTTGCAGTTGTCCAAAAATGGATACAAGAAAACTTTAAAAAATTGGTGTTTCTTTTGTCAAGCTGCAGGTCTATAATATATAATTTGATTAAGTGTGGAACAAATCTTTTAAATTAAACCCCATGTGAAATCCATGGAGCAAAGCATTAGTTTAATTAGTATAAGATAATCATGTTTAGGGAAGATTAATTGCAATTATGTGATAGGTCCTTTTGTGCTTGTCTTGGGGCAATTCCCCATGAAAGCATCTTTTGGCTTGACTAAACATGTGAAACTGGGTATGCTTAGCCCTGAAGGAATTTGAAAAAAAAAAAAAAAAAAAGGATGGAAAAGCAGCAGCAAATGAGGAAGATACTTAGCGCTTAAGAATTAGTCTTTTGATAAATTCAAACTCAACTCGATGAGAATGCAAAGAACATTTTCTAGCACGAATAGTTTGATTGAAATGAAAAGGTAGGTAGGTCTCGTTGATTTTGGGTACATGATGATTCTAAGGTATTGAATAATCAAGAGTGGGTTGTTTATCTCATATTGATTTATCGTCATCCGCATTCTTTCTCAGACTTATTCCTTTTATTCTTTTTGATCTCCACCTAGAAAGTAACGACACGCATGAAAAGCCAAAAATTACAATAATTTTACACTCATCTTCTTTATTTATTTTTATTTTTTTCACAAGAAGCGATAGTAAGTTTAACACACAATTACACAATTACAAAGGTTGTCGTATGAGTACATTCTCCTGTGGCCAATACGTTAATTTGTAGATAACCCGCACAAATAAGCATAACAGTAAAACTCCTAACGGCTACCACAAGCACAAACACCTCCGTACTACCACAAGTACCTTGACACAAATCCACCACAAAGATGGCATACGTATATCTAGGGGTGGGTTCAAAAAACCCAAAAAAAAGGGGGACCGAACTCTGAACCAAAATCGAAAGTTACGATCTCTCTCAAATTTGGTCCTCTGATTCTATCTTCGTAGGGTGTAGGTTTGTGGATGAGTTGTTGATCCAAAGGGCCGTTGGGGCTTGATCTAAGGATGAACAGATGATGAACGGATGAACACTTTCTTCAAGGGCCGTCGGGGCTTGATCTTGAATAATGGTTGTGTGGATTTCTTCAAGGGCTTTTGGGCTTGATCTTGAAGGTTGATGGGATGTGTGGATTTGTTTGTTGATCCAAGGGGCCGTTGGGGCTTGAGCTTAGGATGAACGGATGAACACTTTCTTCAAGGGCCGTCGGGGCTTGATCTTGAGTTGGTTGTGTGGATTTCTTCAAGGGCCGTTGGGGCTTGATCTTGAAGAAGGATTTGACGAAGAACGAAGAGTGCTTTCTTGATCCTTCGGGATTTTCTTGAGAGCTTTAGAACTCTAAGGCTTCAAGGTTTTGGTGTGTGGAGAAATGTATTTGTGAATTGGTTGATGCTTGATACCTTGATGGAGAAGCCTATTTATAGGCTTTGAGAATGAATCACCACCACAAAATATTTTTTTCCTTTCCAAGCACCATTGCCTAATTTTCCCACTTAATGCAATATTGAAATTGAAGTGGTGTAACTTATGGCCTAATTTCCCACTTAATACCATTTTAAACTTGAAGTGGTGTAACTTATGGCCTAATTTCCCACTTAACACCATTTTAAACTTGAAGTGGTGTAACTTATGGCCTAATTTCCCACTTAATACCATATGGCCTAATTTCCCACTTAACACCATTTTAAACTTGAAGTGGTGTAACTTATGGCCTAATTTCCCACTTAATACCATTTTAAACTTGAAGTGGTGTAACTTATGGCCTAATTTCCCACTTAACACCATTTTAAACTTGAAATGTGTATGTTTTGTCATTGCCCAAATGAGAAAAACTTGCTTTGATCTGTAATGGATTGAAGTGTGCTTGCCTTGTCATTGCCCAACATGAGAAGAAAAACTTGTTTTGATCCTCAATGGATTGAAATGTACTTGCCTTGTCATTGCCCAAAATGAGAAGAAAAACTTGTTTAATCCTTCAAGGGTATTTCTTCCTATTTTGTTGAGTCACACGCCATGTGTACAATTTGTACAACACGTGGCGTATGCCATGTATGCCTTGACACGTCAAAACTTTAATGCATTGGTGAACATTTGTTTTTTTTTTTTACTGAAATTTCGATGTCTACAAAAACAAAGGAACCAAACTGAACCGAAGTATTAAGTTCGGTTCGGTTTTGGTTTTGGATGACCAAACTGAATTCCTTTACACTTTATGAATGCATGCCAATGATGTTTCTTTTGTGAAACTTTGTTGCCAAGTTTGAAACTAAGCCTAGGGCTTTTTCAAGTAGCATACTTGGTTCAATTAGGGAGAATATTGCATTGGTTATAGAAGAAAGTTTTGGAAGGCTTTGAAACTTGGAATAACTTATCTATTTGTTTACTTTTTGAATGAATACATTGATTTTTCTTTGCAATTGAGGTTGTTGATAAAATAAGATTGGTTTATATGATCTTGTATATGTACAACTGCCTTCCCACTTTCCCCATTTTTTTTATTATTAGTCTACCAATGCAAGCCTCTTTTTTAAATTCTATATTAAAAAAAGATCAAGTTTTATAAAATAAAAAAAAACCAAAACCGAACCGAATAAAATCAAACCAAAAAAAACCGATTGAAAATTGAACCGAACCGAAGTTTTGATTTCGGTTTTGGCAAAAAACCAAACCGAATGAAACCGAACCCATCCCTACATACATCGAGACACATGCAAAGTCCTCACCGGCAAACAATACCACAAGTGAGGACACATCACTTGCTAGGCGATACATCACACGCTAGATGCGTACATACGAAACAAACACTGCTTCGAAAACGGAGGCCACCGTCGGTTCATGTCCATCGGTGGAGTCGTCTCCACTAGTGAATCGCATATGTAAAATTCAGGTTTAAACTCTCAATCAGCAGATGTCTTAGTTATAAGAAACAAGGAATCAAAGGATTTTTTTTTTTTATTCCAACAAGGTAAACGTACCATTCATTTAAACCTCTAAATGCGTTATCCATTATGCACCTGAACACGAAAGTGCACTAAAGTATAAAAGGCCTAGCCCAATGGGGACCAGGTCCGTCCCAGTAGTTTGGGTTGAGTGGACGTGGGAGGCCCAAAGGGGACTAATGGTCCAAATTAACCGTGTGATCCGCTCTCCTCCCTGTTTAAGGTAAACAATCAGAGACCGTTGATCGGTGTAAGGCCCCACAATGCATCAAACGGTTGAGGTTTGCACACTCTTGACTAACAGCAGCATTTCGTCTTGCTCAATAAACTGAAACAACACTGCCGTTAAACATTTGATTTAATCAAATTAATTACTGATGCTTACCAAGAAAACGACGAGGGCATTGCCTGTAAAGCACCATTTTAATTTTTAATTGCAACACTAATTCTTATTATTATACATGAAAATCTGATTAAGCAGATCACTAATCAGCAAGCACTACTACTAGTTTAGCCGGTAAGCAGTCAGCAAAAGCCAGACTCCCAGTCCCGTCCCACTAGAGACGAAATGTGGCGAAGGAGCTTTAGCAGCAGCACCGGGACCGCCGCCGCTACAACCGTGTTGAAGGACAAGAAATGGGACGCTCTCGTCATCGGCGGCGGCCACAACGGCCTCACTGCCGCCGCATACCTCGCACGCTCCGGCCTATCCGTCGCCGTCCTTGAGCGGCGCCACGTGATCGGCGGTGCCGCCGTCACAGAGGAGCTGGTTCCGGGCTTCAAGTTCTCTCGGTGTAGCTACCTCCAGAGCCTCCTCCGCCCCTCCATCATCAAGTAACGCCCACCACATCTGATCATTTCTTCAATTATCTGTTTGTGCGGTTTGCATCGTAGAAATGCTTGAATAATTTAATTTTCAACCAAACAATGCCTTGCGTCTCCCTCTAACAGGGAATTAGAACTGGCGCGGCATGGAATGAAGCTGCTGAAGAGGAGTCCTTCGTCCTTTACGCCCTGTTTGGATGGAAGATATCTTCTTTTGGGACCAAACAAGGACCTTAACCACTCTGAGATTTCCAAATTCTCCAAACAGGACGCCGATGCTTATCCAAGGTTTATACTTGTACTATCCGTAATCCGTATCCCGTATTCTGGATTCTGTATTCCGTATTCCGTATTCTGAAATCCATTATCTGTGTGTTGGTTTTGAATAACTTGATTGTACAGATATGAGACTCAGCTGGAGAAATTTTGTGAGTTTATGGACCCCTTGCTGGATTCAGCTCCTCCTGAATCTTTGCAATGCGAGTCATCTTGTAGTGTTAGTGATCGGTTCAAGAATAAGATGCACAATTCGATGTTTTGGGCCCGGTGTTTGAGACAAGCGGCCTGCCTTAGGCCAAAAGGACTTTGTGTAAGAATCATTCATTTTCCTAATGATGTTAGCTGAACCAGCATGAATTACTAATTGATTACCTAGTAAAGATTTAAGTTTTATGATTGTGTAATTATCGGCTTTGGCAGAGAGTTTATGGACCTTTTGTTATCCCCGGCTTCGAAGGTTTTGAATAACTGGTTTGAGGTGATCAAGTCATTTCTACATCAATGATTAGTTCAAAGTTCAAACCTTGTGAATTTTTATGCATATTAGTCATATCTACATGATTGAGTCATTTCACTTTTTACAGGCAGAAGTTCTGAAGGCAACCCTTGCAACGGATGCTGTAATAGGAACTACGGTAAGAGTCATTGGGAACGGATGGAGATTCATCGCTTATAATTTCTAAATACTTATCATACATACTGCACATTTTGTATTTTTTTTTTCTCGATAGGACTATCCTTCTATATTATTTGCATTGTTTAGTCACTTTTTCCGCCTCGGTTTCTTATGCAGGGAAGTGTACATACACCTGGGAGTGGATATGTTCTGCTACACCATGTGATGGGAGAAACTGATGGTGAGCGTGGAATTTGGTCGTAAGTTACTCCATTGCTTGCTTGACATGTCTCTGGCCTCTATTTTTCAAAATTAGTTTCACATGATACTTTGATAGAAATTATTGGATAAATGCGTTGTTGTTAGCATTCATATGTTATACTTTAGCTTGAATGTTTGTTTTAACAATTTTTTGTTTATCCCTATTTAGACTTTCTCCTAGTATTAAAAACCAACTTTCTGTACAGATATGTTGAAGGTGGGATGGGTTCAGTATCCTTGGCTATCGCTAATGCCGCTAAGGAAGCTGGGGCTCATATTGTAACATGTGCAGAGGTATTTATGTCCCAAAAGGAGCTAGGATTAGTTCATGTTTCAGTTCTCAAACTTTGTGCATCTATTGTCTGTCTGTATGACTTTGTAGATTATGTTTTCAATCTTGTTCTTCAGGTTCAGCAATTATTGATTAATGACTCTGGCACTGCGGACGGGGTTAGTTTCTTCTTGCTTCCTAAATGAGGTAGTCTTGAAACTTAAATCTAACTTGTTGGATATTGTTACATGTCTTGTTGTAGGTTTTGTTGACTGATGGCTCACAGGTGCATTCTTCGATTGTTTTATCAAATGCAACCCCTTACAAAACATTCAAGGTAAAACACCGGGCCTGCGTATGTAAATTCAAATATGTAGAGACGCCTTGTGCCGTGAGAAATTAGATGGGAATAATACCTGTGGAAACCTTTTAAAAAAACTTGTATTAAATGGATTTTAATCTATATTATAGGTTTCCATTATATGACACAGGAGTTGGTTCCAGATAATGCTCTTCCTCCTGATTTCGTCCGTGCAATTAAGTATTCTGATTACAGCTCTGTAAGCTCCCTTTATTCCTTCATTTTCTGTGTCATTCTTCTTAATTTTCCAATTATTATCTTTACTATAACTTGAGGTTACTTACCTATCTGCAGGGAACTACAAAAATAAATTTAGCGGTTGAAACATTGCCCCAGTTCAAAAGTTGCAATTTAGGTCATCCCGATGCAGGTCCTCAGCATGTGGGCACCATTCATATTGGTTCTGAGAGGTATGCTATTATCTCACTGTTTGGTTTATTTGGTTCCACATGCTGTGCTTTTTCATATCGTTTCCGTCTCTCTTCTAAAGCATGGAGGAGATTAACTCCGCCTGTCAAGATGCTGTCAATGGATTGCCATCGAACAGACCAGTTATTGAGATGACAATTCCCTCTGTACTCGACAAAACTATTTCTCCACCTGGTACATAAAACTACTTTGCCTTGATAATGTATCATATTGTCTCGTTCCTCATAGAAAGCATTCTAGTTCTCATATCGACATAATCCAACTCTTTGTAGGCAAGCATGTGATCAACTTGTTTATTCAATACACACCATATAGTCCCTCAGATGGCCACTGGGGAGATACTGTTTACAGAGTGAGTTTTTCATTCCTTCGTTTATCTTTCTTTTTCTTTCTAGACGAGGCATCAACTCTTTTTTCTTTCATTTTTGTTGCGACTTTACTTTTGATGGAATAATTTTGTGGTGACACAGAAATCTCCTCTCTGGGCCTCTGACTAATTCTTTCAAATGGCATGGTACCTTTACAGGAATCGTTTGCACAAAAATGTTTTAGCTTGATTGATGAATATGCACCTGGGTTTAGTTCATCAATTATTGGTTACGACATGTTGACTCCGCCAGACCTTGAAAGGGAAATTGGTTTGACAGGTACATCAAAACTCAAATCTTTGTAGAAATGTAGGCAGAGCCGCAGATGGTTCAGCCAAGTTTAGTTCACCATAAATGATATAAGGGCATTGCCGGAAGTGGCAGCCATTGAGCGTCACAGTACGGAGATGGGAAGTTTGTCATACAAGCTTGATTCAACTCAAAGTGTAGCGAAAGTGTAGAGTCAAAAGAGACCATGTATTTTCATCTTTCTATGCATAATCGATGAATTAGCTCATCATCTCAACATGATTGCAGCATCCAAAAACTCACACCGATTTGTAAATGTTTCTTGACAGGAGGGAATATCTTCCATGGTGCTATGGGATTGGATTCGCTCTTCCTCATGCGACCTGTGAAAGGATGGTAAATCTTCCAATGTATCCGATTTTGCTTGGGACATAAACTTCCTGCTATCTATGCCTTATGTTGCTTGTGTAAAAAGTCTATCTGTTTATGTTATTTTGGTATACACATACAGGTCAAATTACAGAACGCCACTGAAGGGACTGTATTTGTGTGGGAGCGGAACCCACCCCGGGGGCGGTGTGATGGGTGCACCCGGGCGTAATGCTGCACGCGTAGTTCTTGAAGATTTGAACAAGCCATTAAAATGATTTTGAGATTTGTGTCTTAACCAGGTACCAATCTGACTGGTTCCAATTCTTATGTTTCGGGTATGCCGAAATTTTCAGGCATTCCACATTATGTTTGTATCTTGTATCTTCATTGAACAATACGAGACTGCATTGTACCTGTTCGTGTTAATTATCTTTCGATACAAGCGATGTCTGAAAGACTCGAAACCAAAGAAACACATCTCAGCAGCTCAAGAAAACAGAATATATAATGCCGATAACTCAAGCTTGTCGCATGTTTCTTATTTTTTTTCATGTAAGTAATCAGCCATCCATCAAGCATCCAAATATTCACAAACATCGCACTAATATTGCAAGAGCTCTGCAGTGATTCCTATCAAAGAAGCTTTGGAGGCTCGGCCTCGGTGTGACATCAAAAGAGAACATTATAACAAATCAGTCAAAACTGCAAACTATCGACTCCGCCAGGCGGAAACAGATTTTGGGACCAGTGAGATGGCATTTGAGGCTGCTTCTAACCTGCACCAAAAGTTCAAATTAACATAAGTAATCAGACATCGAAATAGTCAGCAACAGATACAACGAAGGGGATAGGGGTAGGGAGGGGGAGAAGAGACACCACCTTGAGATTTCTTCGACGGCCTTCATAACTTCAGTTGAACTTGTTTCCAGCACTTGACCTCCAAAAATAATCTCATCCAATACGGTATGCATCTGAGAACGAAGAAGAAAACTAATTAAAGCACAGTTCAATGAAAATGGTTTCGCGAAGCAAGATTACGAATTTTATTCAGCTACAATTCCTAAACAATAATGATGTAATCTAACACCCACCCTTTTGTGCGACAACGTCAAATCATAAAGCAATACCAAATAATGTTTCACATTACTCGGAGTATCAAAGTACACGCAACAGATCACAAGTAAACGTTAGTCACAGCAAAACGAAGGGAGCATATTTACCTTGCTGTAATTGATCACCACGTCAAGCTCACATACATTTTTGAAGCATTTGTCCAATGTTTCCACAAATACTGAAAGGAATGAGAATCGAAGTAAGCAAATCATTCAATCAAAGCAACCCTTAGCACAAGCATTAACTTTGAGAAACAAGCTAATCATTGCCATGTTCGATCTTAACATAGGGAGGACGTGATAACTTAGTCTGTTGTTCAAGTCAGGACCATATACACAGTAATCCTCATTTCTCATGAGTCATGACAGCATTAACTGTAACCATAAGGTTTCTGCAAGCAAAATTCATCAACATTCCACTTTTCAACCGTAAAAACTTTCCCGATATCTTCTGATTTCAAACAAAATTGCAAACGATCAACTTGTGAATGCTCTTCAATGGTGCGGTATCTTGTGATATCGAAACCTTGCAATTCAGTAGCAGCTATATAACATGGATAATGCTAGGTACCTTGTATGAGGTCGAGCATGGCAAGCTCGTTTTCAGAGCTATCGAATACAAAGACGATGTACAAAGTTGCAAAGTGCTTGTACACAAGGCGAGTATCCTGCACAAGAAGGAAAGGATTCAGACAGCCGATTTGAATAACCGTCGCGGATACAAGGACTGTTTCTTATTCAAATTTTACCAAATTCAGATCATCCAGAAACTTTATAAACAGGAAGAATTTGAGGGAAGATTAGCCAATGTACCGGGCCGAAAATAGACTCAGCATCCACGAAATTGCTCACATTCTCACCTCTACTGGACAACACTGTGGAAAAGGAACATCAACATGAAAACCTAATTTGAATTTATAAAAAAAATCAGAACAAATTGAGAGGCAAGCTAAGCATCCACATTGATTTATGCAGTAAATAAAGCATAAATCACAGTAGAGAGAGAGAGAGAGAGAGAGAGTAGAGAGAGAGAACCTCCATGGACGCTGCGTATAAGTTCCTGTTGCTTCTTCACAGGCTGCCCTCAGAAATTGGAAAGCCAGCCATTTTTACACAACAATCGTAATAAGTAATAAATAAATAAAATTACAGAAAAAATAAATATTGAAAAATGGAAAGAGGAGGAGGTGACCTGAAATTCGTAGAACTTGGAAAGGCGAGGCTTCCCCTGCGTGTTTATCACCATCACCGATCGGATCATCTTCTCCAGAAATAAGAAATTTTTTTCTTTTTTCAGGGAATTTGCAGACTGCACAGATGAGAACTGGTTTGAGATCCATGCCGGCCTGGTCCCTTGTAATTATGTACATCGGTAGGGGCCTATTCGTAAATTCATGTGGGGACGCATTGCTGGAGATCCAAATCCGATCAACTTGGCGGTATAAAAAGTGTAAATATCAAATAGTGAGCCAAACAAGCCCTAGACCCTAGTACAATTGAAGTCGAGTCGCAACCAGAATCATCGGCGGCGGCGCATCATCAATGGCGGCTCAAGAAGGCGGTGATTCTGAAGACGATGCAATTCTGATCCCCGAGACCGCCACGCTCCTTCCATCGACTCAGCATTGCCTCCACTCCATCAACTCGGCCGGTCTTCATCCGGGAGCTCCGGTCTCAAGGCATCTCCTTCCAGCTCTGGCCGCCCGCCACCACGCTCCTCACACTCCTCGACGGCCACCGTCGTGACCCCAGCACCGGACCACTGGGACGCACACTCTCGGCGTTGGACTCGAGGCAGCGGCCTCACAGAATCCTCGAGCTCGGCTCCGGGACCGGCCTCGTCGGAATCGCCGCCGCAGCCACGCTCGGGGCTACCGTCACTGTAACTGACCTCCCCCACGTCATTCCTAACCTGTTATTCAACGTGGAAGCGAACGCTTCCGTATTGGCAGCTAACGGTGGGGTGGTCCACGTAGCAGCCGCTGAGGTGGGGGGAAGCGGCGGACGTAGAGAAGATTGGGCGGGAGTTTGATCTTATTCTAGCCTCGGATGTAGTGTATCACGATCATCTCTACGAGCCGTTGCTTAATACGCTGCGTTTGCTGATGTCAGGTGAGGCGGAGGAGGGAAGGGTGTTTGTGATGGCCCACATTGAGGCGGTGGAAGAAAGACTCGGCCTTCTTCAAGAAAGCCAGGAAGCTTTTCGAGGTGGAGGTCTTGCACGTGGACCCCCCGTGCCTCGGCTCCCGGGTTGGAGTTACCGTTTACCGTTTTACCGCCAAAAAGTCGAGTAGGAAAATGTTGAACCCTATTGACAATGCTAATGTTATTGCCTAACAATCAAATTCCATCTTAATTATTCTTGCGTTTTTGTTCATTGCACTTTATAAATTCTAAACGATTCTAAATTACTGGAGGAGAATTCAACCTCGAATGCAAAGCGACAGGCAAATTAACGTAACTAACTGACGTAAATCATTTCTGCTCGGATTTTGTTAACTCAATAACAAGACTGGTTTTACATTTTACAATCTTTACAAACGAAGCTATAAATAACCAACAACGAAAACTCACAACCCCGCTCTCACACAATCTACAATAAGTCTCCTCCAATCATCGCACACGGTAGCCACATAGAGCAAAACCTAACTAGTGGAACCCGGAATGCTTGGAGTGCCCGGCAAAGTGCAGAGTGAAATCACTTCCTTAAAGCCGAGGCTCGTGCATGAATTACAGCATTTGCTAACCGAACGTGGAGGAAAGCGTTTCTTTTAGCCACATGAATGCTTGATTTTCATATCTTCCATAGCGGCGATCCTCTGCCCACGGTTTTCATACTTTGCGAGTCTCTAAAGCACACAAAGTGCACTAATGTTTTCCCGTTTGGATATACGGCAAAGACACTGGTTCCTATTTTCTTCCTGCAAAGGGAGCACATGCTGTCACTGGTGACCTTCACCACACCCTTCCTTTGTTCGTAGAGTTCATCTTTAACCTGTTTCAGATAAACATTTATTTGTTCGGGTAGTGAACTACGTTTACAATCATAAACATAAATAACTGGGTGAGGAATCTCAACCACATCAAGAGCATTTGAAATGAGCACTTTGAGATGGTACTAAATGAACGAAAGGACATGCGGCATGGAGACTAAACTAGAACACATAACTAGGGGTTCAGTATCATCTGCAACAAGATCAAGCCTAAGACACCTACTCGTTGCCAAACTTAGATTCCAAGCACGATATATGCATACCTGCAGGTTCTCGCTTTGTCTCAAACTCTTGATCACTGAAAGGTTCCTGTACGCTTCACTGGATTTCCTCAACAGGGGTCCCATAAATGGAAGCAAGTGCTGCAGATCAACAATAATAACAAACAACTTCAGCATCGATATCAGGAGAAAACCATGCTTGAACAAATCAGATTAAAGAGACATCAACAGCAATACATTAATCTAATATTTAAAATTTAGAAATATTCTTTTCCACTATTGGCAAACACCTTGTGTTGTGGTCGATAAAATCATATTCTTTGAGAATTAGTATAGTGAATACCTGTAGCTTAGTTTCCCTTGGCAAAAGTTTGAGTGCCTGAGCTCCATTTATTCTGTCCCACCTTCGGCTCAACAAATCAAGGACCTCATCAAGCATGATTGTTGACCCTCCTTCCTCACTAGATTCTTCCGCATCTCCATCGCTCTTGCTACTGTCAGTGCTACTTTGACCGACTCTTATGTCAGGTGCCACCTCTATTGCAGCAATTTTTTTAGCACCACGCCCTCCTTTACTTTTGACCGTATTTGCAGAACCAACCTTTGGTGTACCGATGTTCTGAGGTGATACTAAATTTGTAATTCGCTTCTCAAAGTTCTTGGTTGTTTTCCTCGGATTAAGATAAATTTGTAATAGAGTTAGGTATATATTTCCGGAAGATCTTGAAGATGGTAGATGAACTAAGGATTCATACACACGATCACAATAGGACAGTGCCAGCCCAGGAACATGTAGCTACAAAAGTCAAGAACTTAATCAACTCAAACAGGATCTGTATAATATACAACGTATTGGTTATAGGATGTGAACATAGAAAAAATACCTTATGAACATAGAGAGATAAGGCAAGCTCATGTTGGTTCATTTTTCCCAACAAAATTGCACGCTCTTCATATAAAGCATCCGTTGGAAGACGTTTCAACAAAGCCTCTGGATTATATCCTGAGATACTCTCTAAAGCAGACAATAATTTCTTTCTTGTTGAGGAGTAAGTTTGCTCATCCCATTTCTGCTGAGAACTTAAATCTGCATACCAGTCAAGTACTTCTGATAGATAGATATGTACCTGCCATGCACTAAATCCATTAGAATGCAGTTTTGGCTGGTAAATACCGGCACACTACTTGCATCACCAATTCACAGAAATTACAACAGAGTAGCTGAAATTGGCATCAGAGATTTTTTTCCTGCCCACTAGTGCAATAACTAAATTAAAAAATCCAATCCGCTTGCCTCTTTTAATTTAATTGATAGCTACTTTTTGGAATTGGGAGTCCTATGGATTGCTCTTATCTTATGCCCCAGATCGGAGGAAAAATAGTGTTGTAACCGAAGTAGACTACAGAACGGGTGTGGGGAAGAATCTCGCCAAAGGTTCAATTTCTGATTCCTTTACAACGGTTAACTCAAGGGATTCGATTCTCTTTTACGCTAGGTGAGACCGAGAACTCGATTGTGGGTAAAGCCTTAGTTATCTACCTTTTTAGCTTCTCGGCAATTCCAAATGACCCTAAACTTCCCAACTAATAAATTGGTCTTATTATTTGTGAACAATGCATACATCCTTACCATTTCATTTTGCAAATTTCCGGAGATTCCATTTTCATCCATTGCAAACATAAGCTCTAAGTATGTGGCCTGCATGTTTGGAGCATGCTGCTTCAAGTAAGAGTTGACCAGGTCTGCTGGAATATTCCCATTCAAAAAGAGCTCAATTGTCTGCGTTGGACAACTTTCAAGAACAAGCATTGAATACTCCAGGACCAGCATGGGATCAGTCCCACAAAGAGGCTGCACATAAGAAAATTGGTCAAATACTTTAAGGTAGTTTACACATGTTTTGGTTCCTGATAAAACAAGTAATCTTAGCAAATATTCAAGTTCCTAAAACAACATATTCTCCAAATGAAAAATGAAAAGTTATATGTTCGATTATAACACATCAAACTTCATCTGTTGGATGGAACATTCAAATATAGTTCTTTAGTTCTGAAACTGAACCCTACATCACAATTTTCAGTTCTATATGTAACAAAGTACATGGAAAAACATAAGATGATAGTAATGCTGAAAAATTTGTAGTGTTCAGTGGAACAAAACAAACTCAGAGGAAACGTGGAATTAAATAAAAAAATTAGCCCGCCTTTCATAGTTGAAAATGGTCAGGCAACTTGTGCTTTTACTTAGCATTTAAATTATACACCAAGGATTTCTGTAATGCTACCATCTCGTTCCAGACTCCAAATGTCAATTACTGATGAAATATAAAGCTTTCATACCACTAACTATTCAAATTTCTGAAATATGACTAGCAGATTCAAGATCAAAGTCATCGATCAGATGGAGAAAACCTACCTTGAGATATTCGACAATTGACTCAGGCTTTAACTTTTGTATAAGTTCAGTTTGCACTTGGTTAGATTTGGAATCCTCTACTAATTGATGCAAGAGTTTTAGAGCTTCGTGGTGCATTGAATTGCACCTGTAAAGTTCTAACAAAGCAGCATAATGATTGTTTTTCTGGAGAATCTCCTCGCATATTTTTACATCGCAGTAGTTAAGACCTTTCAGTAATTCCAAAGCCACTGAAGCCTGTCCAGTAAGAAGTAGAGCTTGGAGTAGTGCTGTATCCAGGATCGCTGCCATCTCCCTAGCACCAGAGGTAACTGGAATGCTACCACGCCCCTTAGATACCAAAGATAATGTGAGGTTGATATCACAAATGAAATAAATGATAGCGACTATATAAACGTACAAAGATGTATTCAAGTTGTGAAAATCCAGACAGGCAAATGTACACACATAAGGTCAAATATTGGAATTAACTGAGAAAAACTAACTTTTGACAGTTGAGTTATGCATGTTTGCAAACAGGTTAATCTAATTTAACAAAGCATGGTTGCTTTTGACAACCATGTGCATCATACGTAGCCAAGCTAACTTTAATGAAGTAACCAAAGCCTATGACTTTCCGCATTAAAAAAGCATAAAGGAACAGCACTGGTAATAATATATATCTCTTACAGTCTTACTCACCAAAAAGAAGAAAAAAAAGGATTATTTCTTAGTTCGCAACCAAAACGTCATAATATCTGTGTTCACAAAATCTAGAACGCTGCATTTAGTGACACAAAATCCTGATCACACGTTCATAACCCATAGAAATTTGTGTATCAATACCAGATCACATAGTGAAATATTGGAATCATATATAAACAAATATAATTAGTTTACCTTGTTTGATTTCTTAAACCTAGATTCATAGGACACAAAATTGTCTCCAACAGCATCTAAAACAACCTCTTCTGTCCCCTCAGCAGTGGCCTTTTCAATTATACCATATCTTTTTTTCTGTAAGAACTTTATGAGAGCCATAAGAGTGTTATGGCTCATTTTCTTGGACTCGAGTGCTGCACTCTCCTCAGATTCCAGTAGTGACGGCAGAGAGTGTTCCATATCATCTGATATACCAGACGAACCTCTTGAGAGATATGGTGAATCCCCAGAAATATCCATTAGCTTCTCCGGCTCAGCAACCATAGTTGTCTTTGGAAGAATAATAGATGGATACAAAGAAAGAACATAGGTTATATCCACTTGAGATGCCACAAAGTGCTCCATGGCGTCCTCATAGGCCCCATTATCAAAAAGATGATGAGCATATCTGTAAACAATAAGCACAATCTCCTTTAACATATAAAATTTAACAGGCATAAAACAAGCATGAATTTGATGCAGCACCAGGTTATAAATTCAAATCTACTGACTGCTTTGCACAAATAAAAGTGTTTTAAGAAAGCTTGGTAAACTTTCACCTTAGTTAAGCATTACATGGCATACTTAAACACTGCCTGATGTACTTCAACTTTAAATTGCGTATACATATACATACATATATATACAAGTGTGTGCATAAGACGGAAGGCCATATATATAACCTTTGATAGACGCGATATACAAGCAATCACAATAATGTCTCTTCCCAAATCACTTCCTGATTTATCGAAAGTCAACGAGCATGTAATTGTATATATTGATGTACCCATGAATCTCAATATCAATCAAGACATTTTACCCAGAACTTTATCGCTTTCCAGCCATGTGGCCCTGCCTAGCAAAAAATAGTATTACATGTCCAAGTGTGCTAACAAATAAATTTCTCCAGCCATGTGGCCCAGCTATTGGCAACTCCAGAGTCCAGACTTATATAGCTCCAAACCCAAAACTCTCTCCTTTAACATGAATAGATCTAACCTTACATTGATGTAACCATTTATATTTGTGATTAATATACAAGTCCGTTTCTACCATATGCATGTTAGATGTAAACACAAACACATCAATTTTATTGCAATTTTAGACCAATACATTTGTTTATTCATATAAACGAAAAGAGAAATGAAAGCAGAAATTATTCACCTCATATGAATTGACCCCTCCTTCGCAGCTCTAAGACTTGCTTCTTCTGGAGGAAGCATCTTACACAATGCCAATGCTTCGTCAAAATCGCCAGATGCTGTTAATTGTACAATCTGCAAGGCAAAAACACAATTCTCACCTCCTTACCAAAGAAGATGGTGCATCTACAATAGAAGTTTAGCACATAGAGCATCAGGAATACCTGAGCGCCAAGAGGAACAGGGAAGAGACCATAAACAGCATTCTCTAATGCAACAACTACAGCGTCATTGCTCTGTAGAATACGACGAGCATTTCTAAGAACAACCGTCTGTATCAATGGATAGGGATCTCGGAGCGACCGTACCTGCAAAAGAAGGCATATCTGGCCTGCGTCTTGTAAAATATTAAAAGCAAAAATAAGTACTTCTTTCTTTAGGAATATGAGGCCAACCTACCTCGACATATCTTGGTAACAGAGCAATTGCATATGGCTTCTGAACAACAACAACATTCGGGGAATCTGACCAACAAACCCTGCCTTCTTGACAAAGCTTCCCGTTTTGGTCCACAAAAACCCCAATATTATCCTAAAACACGAGAACATGGTAATCACTAATCAGTATTGCTTTTAGGAGTCCTTCTACTATACATCAATGTACAGTATACATTGCATTTTCACTCGCTAAATTTGTTTGGATTCTTCCGGGCACATCCAGCCGTTAAATTCAGCGATCATACATTGATGTAATCTAAAATTTTTGCGCTTTTATTCCGAAAAACACAAACCAAATGGGAGACGCAACAAAAGCAAGTACCTTTCCGAGAAGAAGCTCTCCGGAAGGGAGAGAGACCACCAATGGCGGCGCTATCCTCCCCGATGGAAACACCTCTGACAGTGCACCATTTGAAGAATTCAGTATCATATACTCTCTTCTAATCCCTATACATATATTCTCACCACACCATGACATCGACTTCACCACATCCGGAACCCCAAATTCCTTCACTTCCACAAACCCTCGTCCCCCTAAACACATTCAATTCCCAAATCATTTCAAAATTCGAGCATTTTCAACTGAAATTCCTAAAAAGATAAGAAATTAATAACTCATGTGAATTACCGTCGTGCCGGAAAATACAGACCCGCTTCTGCCTCGCGAAGCAGAGGAATCCTCTGCGGTCGTCCCACGAGTAGACATTGGCGCCCTTCGCCTTCGTGATCACGGCGATTGTGCCCAAGTTCGGGAGGCCGTGAAACGCAATCGACTCCGAGAGGGAAAGGAGGAGCTCTCGCGATTCCAGGACCTCCATCGAAACCAAGGGCTTCTTTGAGAAACCGGCAACGTTCCTCTCCAGCGCGTACTGTTCCTTCTGGAGCTTGTGACGTTGGTAATCGGACGGCGGAGAGCGGTCGGAGCCGGAGGAGTCCGGAGCGTAGATTTTGAGAGATCCATCGGAGCAGCTGATGAGGAGCTTCGGTCCGTACGATTCGATGGCTTCGATCTTCGTCGGGCAGTCGCTGATGAGCTCGAAGGAATCATAGGCACTGTGTACCATGCTGTCGTTGTCCTTTGATCGGAGTTCTTTTTGGCTGGGGTGATTAAAGAGCGAGTGCGTCGTACGACGCCGTTTCCGTTGTCTAAGCTTATTGGAACTTATTTCATCGTGACTCGTTTCGATATGCTTTTATAATGCTTGAAAGCATTTTAAAAAAAAATATTTTTGAATTCCAAAAGCACTGAAAGTGCTTTCAGCAAGAAGCATCACTTTCAGTATTTTCCTAATATTTACTTGCATCTTTACTAAATGTTGGTTTTAAAAATATTTTCAGCAAAAGCGTTTTCAGTTATTTTAAAAGCACTTCCAAATGAGCTCATAGATTCTTGCAAGTGGTTTTTTACCATAGTGGTGGAAAGACGTTAAGTCCTTGCATTCACGGCATGGGTTCAATCTCTATCGATGACTAATATAATAAAATCTATCATTTGATAAAAAATAAAAACTTTACTATATTCTTTAAAATTCATATTTCGCTACTTAACTCTTAGAATTACGGCACTTATAAGCCCAAAAATTATGTATCAAAATAACAAAGTATTTTGGGTGATTTCAATTTGGTCTTAAACTTTTTAGAGCACTCCAAATAGTAATGTAATATTTCATTGACGTTAGCCCAACATGAACATATAATTATGGAGTCCTAAATCCCCAAATAGGTCATTTTAGCTAAGCTAAACTTTAAGTTTGTTGCCAAAAATAACGTGAGTTCGAAAACAGGTTTCCCTTTATTATGCACATCATTACTTAATAGTTAATACTAATGATCCAGCAAATGTTTAATTTCAAAAAGTTAGAAAATTATGTAAAAAATTAATTAATTCAAAATCACTCGTAAAAAGTAAATATTTATTCCTAATTAACCCCAATATGATTTCTCTTAGCATACATTTCTAACACCACCACATCTCTCATGAGAAAGAAATTGCAACACGAAATTTTTAATTTTACACATGATTTTGTATTTCATGAATTCTAAATAAAAGTATATGATGATTAATTTTACAACTAATCTTGTACTAACCACCGTCTATTCGTTGAACTCACACATTCAATAATTAAAATTTGGCAAAAAGTTGGTTATGATTAATTGGCTCGTATAAGTGTAAGTGGGAATCGGACGTAATAATAGCATGTGAGTGCCTTCTAATCCATCCGTGGACGTAGCATGTGAGTGGATGAACCAAAGTTTAAAAATAGAATGAAAAAAAATAGAAAAAGACAAAAAAATGGTCCCGGCGGGGCTCGAACCCGCGACCTTCGGCTCATAAGACCAACGCTCTAACCAACTGAGCTACGGGACCACAATGTTTATTTTTCACACAATATTATTAATGTACAAAAATGGATTCGATTATTCTCACCGGCGTGAATATTCTGTTTTATTTGTATGATATTGACAAGTGACAACCGATTGACCTAAGACTTCTAAGTGGGACACATGGCTTATTTTTAATTACTTGTTATATAAAAAAGTAACTGATAGACTAATAGTACAAAAATAAATGAATAAATAACCTCACCAACTAGAGCTCTTCAATTGGAAGTCTTAATTCGAAATCGGTTGCTGGTGTGGAACATAGATTTGAAGAGGTTGAAATATTTTTATGAGTTTTCCTAGCTTTCAGTAGAGATGGATAATCATAACTTGTTATTGGTTGTCCTCTTTAAAATGAAAAAAAAAATAAAAAAAAAAACTAGAGCTCATGACCAGGCTCTTGAACTGGCCGTCTTGAATTCAAAATCCGTTATTGGTGTGAAAACTAGATTTATGACTGTGAGTTTTTTCAGGCTCTGAAAATGATGAATAATCGTGGCATACTAGTTATCCTCGTATAAAAATAAAAATAAAAAAACCTAGAGCTCGTGACCACGTAGGTAAAGGTGGTTCGTGAAGTAGAGAAAGTAAAAGACTTGGACTGGTGTGTGAGCTTGTAAAGAGAAGGAAGAAGAAGAAGATGACGTTGGGTCTGATCAATGCCAACCCCGTGGTCCACGCTAAGAAGGAAAGGGTTGCTCGCACCGAAGATCTCCACGCCGACGACGCCGTCGATCCTCTCGATATCTATGATATCCTTTCCCATTCCATCTCTTACCGCCTTCTTTTTTTTCCTTTTTTTTTTTAATTTAATTACGTGAAATTTTGCTGAAATTTGTGATCTTTGACTGGAAATTGCAAATTTCGTGAGGGATATTAGAGATCCGGAGCACCCCTACTCGTTAGAGCAGCTCAGCGTGCTTTCGGAGGAGTCGATCACTGTGGATGACAAGCTCGGCCGTATTCTGTGAGTATCATTTCTCAATTTTCAGCTTCAATTTTGTTTTTTTTCTTTTCTTTTTCCTGGTAATTTGGATTCTGGGTTTTTAAAGAAATCACCAAAGTTTTAATCTTTATTTTTTATTTTATTTTATGAAATTTGGTTGAAGGATAACTTTTACGCCGACGATTCAGCATTGCAGTATGGCAACAGTGATAGGTCTGTGCCTGAGAGTTAAACTGAAACATTGCTTCCCTCCTCATTACAAGGTCCGTCAGTTTGCTACGTTAGAGATTTTGGTGCATTGAATATCAAGCGATTAATTTATACGCCGCGTCCTGTTTTTGTTATGCGAAAATTCTGTGCTCCTTTGGTTTTTAGTTACGACTCTGTCAATGGCGGTAGTTGCAAGAGGACCAAAATTTGATGCTGGTTAGTGCAAACACTCATGGTGCTAGATGAGACACATCATTCCTCTTTTTTCTCTTGTATAGTTCTTGTTCAATTATCATGCTTGTTGCGTAATGCGATGGTTGATGTGTACTTGTTACATTCAAGGGATGATTACGATCGTGTGTTAATTGGCATATAATGTGATTGGAAAATGTGGTTTCCCGGCACTACTCCAGCTATGCGTAGTCTCTCTCATTTGTCATAGACCCCATAGTTTTCCATCCATTTTTTGAGAGGGTTCACAGAGAATCTACCCTAGGGTTTTTACAAATTATACTCCCTTGTGAGTTGTGACCGCCAACTTAGCTATCCCCCATTTGGAGTTGCTCAACTCTCTCCCTCGCGCTAGCAGTCTTCCGCATTTGATCTTTAGCATCTTTTGATCCCCTTATCAACGCATAATTGACCGCATATTTTGACCTAGAACCATTTACAAATCAGGACTTTTCTTTGAGCAATTGGTGTATGTTGAGAAATAAGTCTGAAATGGTAATGAGAAATCACATTATACAAGACTTCATCAGGGTGGTTATCTTTCCATATTGTAATTGTTTAGCTATTTGCTTAACCATATGTTTGATGATGCATTACAACAGGTTGATATTAAAGTATCTCCAGGATCTCATGCAGATGAAGAATCAGGTAATCTCGTTTTCCCTGGTCTTCTGGAAATGGCTGTTGTGAAGTACCTAAGGAATTGTTGGAATGATTGTAACTTTGTATTGTGCCTAGGGAGTTGTTGTAACTTTGTATTGTGCCTAGGGAATTGTTGGACCAAGTTGTTAGATTGGTATTCAACCCACTTATTTTGCTTAATGTCTTTAGGCTGGAAAAGAAAAGATTCGGTTATATCTCTAAGTAGTTTTGAGATAAATGTTACCACTTACCAAACCGGTTTTTGGTGCCTCGAGATGTATTTGCTCAGATACACATGATCCATCAGTGACACCTATCTTGGCTGTCATTGGTAACATGTCAAGTATCATGAATGCATCAATCGTAGTTTGTGAATTTCCAGCGTGCGAGAAGTAACTTTTCTTCATTGCATTTTTGACATGTGAGATTTAAGGTTTGTTTCTTTCCATTTTCCTAGTTAACAAGCAGTTGAATGATAAAGAAAGAGTTGCTGCTGCCTTGGAGAACCCCAACCTTCGCCAACTTGTGGACGAGTGCCTGTATTCCAACGAACTCTGACCAAGTAAACTTCATAGCTCAAAACCCACTGTACAGAAGAAACCTCAGTAATACATATGCTATAAGAACATGCTTTGTTGTAATATTACTCGGCATGTTTGTCTCTTATCAAATGGAGTTGCTTTGCAGTTAGTGGCTTTGTTATGTCTACGTGAAATTCAGCTGCAAAGCTATCATGTAATATAGTAAACCAGAAGTTGCATTATTTGGTGACTCATCTCGTAAGCTATGTACCTTGTCTGTAGGCTGTATTTGGATTTGTGTAATAATATCTAATGCGTTTCAAAGTGGTTCGTCAGTTGTAGGTCTTGACTTGTTTGTTTTCCTTCAGAGCTCTTGCCTTGCATCGTGGTTCATACTCGGGGCAATCAGAAAGTAGAGCCTCTTAGGCGAATGGTTAGTTTTTCGTAGTTTCGGATTTCTTTTGTATGAAGACGGAAATGAATGGCTGAGTCAATGTGCTTGTTTTCCTTTTTGGGTATCAGGGAGTGGGAAGCGAACAAGACTTCGGGCGTGAAAATAAATGCTCTTAACCATTTGAATTAGACTTTTACGACCTGCTAATTCAATGTCAACGTTGCCACGTTGATATCTGGCAAGTCACATTTCAAGGCACTGGCATACCATCGACAAGTGAACTTTGCCTCATGACGGATGTGAAATATTGCAGCAATTGGAATGGTATATAGTTCTTAAATCAAGAGAATAAAAACCCATTAAAAAGATAGAAAAACATCACACTGTACGTTTAAGTAGAGAACGTCAGGAAAACAATGAGGTTATCGATCTCCCCCGTAGTTACCAGTTAAGTACAGTAGTACAAATGCTTATTAACCTGCAGCGAGGAACTGAACCACGAACCCTCTCGCTCCTCATTCCGAATTCAAAACTAAAGACAGCTTGTAGTACTCATTGTACAACTTTTAAATTCTTACTATACTCCACTGGGCCGGCCAGGGTAATCAGCTAGCCACGGGTGCAACGCGGAGAGGCTGCGGTGCCACCTCTGCTCCAGAATGCCCATTTGTTATATGGAAAGGCTTCTCATCAAATCCCCAGAACTTGGCAGTTTTCACATCATCCTCCGCCATCATTCGTAGAAAACTCCTCGTGGTCATACTTTAGGGTGGCTTGTCCCCCAAACTCGCTCGGAAGATTTTCAGCATCAAAGAATGTCTTCATGAGCTCCACACTTTCTTTACCTTTCGGGTATACAAACTTCACCTTCTGAGAGGTCTTGGCATCCAGGAAGTACTTGACGGCCTACGGAAGTGAAAGGCAGCAGGAAGATCATCAAATGACAGATATAGTTGCTAAGCTACAAATGTTGTACCACTAAATATAATGTAAGCGAACGCAAACTATAACCAATGCCAGATCATATCAAAATGAAGTTTTTGGGTTTACGTCGAGGAGTTTAGCTAGTAGGCCGGCATCTTTTATTGACCAAGCTCGAAGAACCATGTTCGAAATTTTTATAATGGTAGGATAAAAAATGAAAATGAAGGATTACTACAATAATCCCAATGAACCCTCACTAAATTGCCTTCCAGTTGAAGTTCTATTAACCAAACTTTTACATTCTGAAAAAAAAAAGTTGAAATATTGATGCTTCAAATTCAGTTGAAGTATGGTGTGGGAACATCCGTGTCAATAACATAAAAATTGCCATGAAAAGTTCATACCTTCCAGAATGCCTGAAAAATTCTTGGCGGGTTATATAGAAATGCAACCGCAAGCCTCTCGGGGTAATGGTTCTGTAGAATGTTAATAATATCCCGGGCTGTCTTGACACTGACATTGGTGTTGATTGAGAATCCAGTGAAGTCAACCAACCATGACATCTGTTCTTGACCTTCGGGAAGGTTGAGGACACCATTTTCTATAAGATAGACTAAATGGCGGATATTATCTTCGGGCGAGTTTGTGTTCTGAAAGAACAAATAAAAAACAAAAAAAAGAGAATGAGTTAAATCTACTAACTATAAGCTTACTGAAAGTGTAACCATGTTTTAGGGGGTGGGGAGGATAGCCTACTACGGACCTGCTGTGCTGGCCTCATTATAAGCACGCTCCTCCCAAGTCGATCATGGAACTTAGCTCTAAATACTTTGCCAGGTCTCACCTTCATGCGCTATTTCAGTGCTGAACAATGACATGTTTCAGTGGTAAGTACAAACTGAAATCAAACCCAAATAGTGAACTGAAAATTTTCCTAGTGAACTAGAATTAATCATCAATAAGTATGACGGCGATAGCCCGTGCAATGCACAGAAGTAAGCTGCAGATGATGCAAATGAATTAAATGAACGCAATTCACGCGCAATGTGGTTGGAGAACACCATCTGAGTCCATATGAAGTTCTGATTCTGCCATATATTTGATGCAAACAAAATATACAACTCAAAAGTTGATCAGTTTATGCTCAAGCAGAATTACCAACTTATTAAGAGAAACAAACAGTCTACAAATAATCTATTTCTAGTTTGTGAATATCATAAAAGTTCATCCAACTTACCCAACGGGTTTCTTCAGGCTTATAAGTTGCCCTCCATTTCAGTGTCTCTTCAACCATTTTCTTCGCCTTCTCAAGATTCCAGCTCCGAGCTTCCAAATATCTCCGAAGGCATCCATCGGTGCAGTACTTCAAATTGCGTCCAGACAGGGGCCCAAGTGCTGCCCTGAGTTCCTTGACCTGAATGTACATTCGTGTCATTCAACGTCAGATTTCTATATTGCACACTTCCATCAAAATTGGAAGGTAAGCTTTAATATTTTTGGCTGACTTAACAATTATGATCATGTGTACGCCAAAGAGGCAGACCGATTTACTTGAGATACACAACACCTTTGGATTGCCAGTTGTACACTTTGATATTACTACAAACAGAAAAGTAACTAAATTTGTTACCTTTGCATTCTTTTTGTGCAGAATCATCCTCAGGGGTTGGTTTTTGAGATTGTCTTCTCAGAAGATACATGTTGCTCACCAATTGCCTTCACTTTTCAACCTACAGTAAATAACAATGGTAAATAAAAAGTTCAAAAATAATGGTTTAAAACATTCCTCTTTCAAATACAATTACACACAACTGAAGAAAGAAAAATTCACCCACTTTTTCCAAGTAAAAAATCAAAAGCATTGAAAATTACATGGGAAATTAAATTACATGATCTTCAAGTTCAATCTAAATTCACCAAATATTTAACCACAGCAGCTAGTTTCACATTTGGTCAACTCCCTCAAGGTAAAAACGATCACACTAATTTCCAACACAATCTTTCACCAAAAACTAATGATTTCTAACACAATCAGGTAAAATCATACAAGATCCATTTGGAGAAATGGACAAAAGGGGTGTAGCTACAATCATTGGATAATCATTTGGGAGTGACAGATCCACTAAAAAAATCACAAAACATGATAAAATACAAAAATAGCAAACTGGGCAAGTCTTGGGCAGCTGTGTAATTTACAAAAGCAGCTGAAAAATCTCATCTTTATTGTTGGGAACAGAAGGAAACGAATAGCTTTGCACGCACCTTTGGGTTGATCAGAGAGAGAGAGAGAGAGAGAGAGAGAGAGAGAGAGAGAGAGAGAGAGAGAGAGAGAGTAAAATGAGAGATCCCCTTGGGGGAGGGAGAAGCAATAGGTAGCTTTGTGCTTAGACTTTTACGGCAATTAAAAATGTTCTAGAGAGAGAGAGAGAGAGAGAGAGAGAATGCGTTGGTTAGATGATGTTGATTCTTGACGTTTTAGGGGGTGGCATTTACCGGAATTTACCGAACGAGAGGAGGATTGAGAGCAATGGAAAGGAGAAGGGGATTGAAATTGTGAAGGGATTAATGGTTGGGATTTATATAATTCTGGCAAGGAACTGGTGTGGTGATGTGTGTGAGTCGAGAGAGCCGAGAGAGTCGAGGACACCAAAGTTGGCTACTTTTTGGATGTCAAGATCGGCGACTGCGACTGACTTCATCAAAGTGGGGAATGGGCACTGCCAGCCGCCCTTGCTTCTTCCACCGTTCACTTCTCTTTTCTATTTTCCTCTCTGTTTTTAGTTTTTTCATATATTTATTTATTTCTTATTATATGATCATTTATTATCCTATGAACCAGGAGGATCTCGCCAGATGGTTTTTACGAAGATTCTGAAAATTCTTCAATAATATCCGTTTATTATATTTACTCAAAATTGAATACATTATGCGGTCAGAAATATTGTAATTTTTTTTACTCAAAATTGAATATAAATAGTACTTGATAAAAATTGGTCGCACAATATACGATGAACGGATGTGATTGGAGGATTCTCATAATCCTCATAAATAGGAATCAGCGAGGATCCTCACTCTCTTGTGAACGTTACCACATTTATTTTCTCTTTATTTAATTATGATCGTTATTTTCATTTGATTTATTTAATTCGTCAGTCATTAATAAAAAATGTGTGTTAGAAGAGAATAATAGAGCAGGGTTATCATTTCTAAAAAAATTATACATGATCTTGCAAAGGATCAGAGGTTCAAGGTTTTTGTGGTGTCCTCTGAAACCTTCTTCCTTCCTTTCATCATTGGTGTCATCAGTTGGTTGGATTCATAGTTAACCAGGATCAGGTAGAACCATATATTTCGTTAGTAAATTTTTATTGCGGATGTTTTTGCTCATCATGGCCTAATTGTTTTTGATAGTCATATTTGAGAGTATTATATTTCCGGTTTTGCTCGGACTGCTTATTTCTTTGGCTGTACAAGAAATTGTTGTTTTCGTGATTTCTCTATGTGAATGGAGTTTTTCCTCCATCAGAAAAGAAAAAATAGGGTATCTGCCAGAAAATATTATAATAAAATTTCACGGACTCATGTTGGTATTGCACGACTGAAATGAGGAAAGGAGGTGGTAGATACAAATATTTATTCATGTACCTAGAGACTAAAAGGAGACCATTTTAAAATATGTGATCCAAAGTATTGTTGCAATATTTTAATTAGGAAAGTGTTATTGGCACTCCAAAATTCTCATTCTACATCCCTCACAAGTGTATTTTAACAAGTGTATTTTATTTCTAAATATAGAAAGTTTGGAGTGTAGAATGAGAAATTTGAAGTACCAATAACAATTCCCTTTAATTATTTAAATTTCATCTAAAACTGTATTTTCATATCATTTATCACATTAACAATTAAGGTTTGGGTTATCATTTTCTTCACCTATAAGTGAGAGTTTTATTAAATTTTAATCTCATGAATAGCGAATTCGATACTAATTTATTCTCTCACTCCTTAGTATTCATATAACGTTGTATACAAAAAAGGGAGATGTTATAGCAGTTTAAAAATCTCATTCTACATTCCTCACAAGTGTATTTTTCTTTCTAATTATAGAAAGTTTGGAATGCAAAATGAGATTTTTGGAGTGCCAATAATAATTTCAAAAAAAAAAGGTTTGGTTATTGGTAGTTGTCTCCTTGGTTGGAGGAAATTTTATGCTCAACTCACATAAATGCGAGCCAACAGGATCCTCTCCGGATCCTTTTGGTGAGGATCCTGAAGATCTGTAAATCGTGTTCGTTCATCGTACATCATGCGATTAGTTTTTGTCAGATACTGTTTGTATTTAATTTTAAATATGATTTCTAACCGTACGATATACGATTAACGGATATGATTTACAGATTCTCGGGATCCTTATAAAAAGAATCTGAATTCAATGCAAGAACGATGTATGTACTTGTGACGACCTTGATATATAGTTGTGATGGACTCAATTTTGACAGTGAAATTCTTTTCTTTGTTTTGTGTGAATGAATTTAGAAAGTGCCATATTATTATTTGTTTGCGACACTACGATCTTTACTGTGTTTTCTTTTATTAAATACCTATTAGTGTTCATTTTCTTTACATATTTATACACATTCCTAATGTTTTTAGAAACGTTTTCTTTAAATAAAAATAAAGAGTTTCTAGAAACGTTACTTACCATATAATAAATTATTGTCCTTATACTAAGAACCATGTGATATTTCTTGGAATTATTCTATTGTATAGATCGCCGTTTATAGTGGAGGGAGAACATTTTTATATTCAAATTCGCATTCAAATGAAAAAAAAAAAAAAAAAACAGCATTTTTTCTCGCTTCGTTTTGTTCGATATCAAATCATCGTCCAGCTCTTTTTGTGCAAATATATCGTTATATGAAGAGAAAGATACAGAGAGACAGAGAAAGAGAATAATAGAAATGCAAAAGAAAAAAAATGAAACTTGAGATTAGGTAAGTTAGTTAGAGAAGTTTTTGGTTTTGAATTCTCTTTTGACGAGAATGAAACCTATTACCTTAAGATGAAGAAAAATATTACTAGACTACAATGTTAAGTTGCAAAAAAAATCATATGCTTTTAATATTATAAAAATGTACGGTATATGGGGCAGTTTCAGGCCAAGAGTGCTATTACTGTTCTGCCCCATCGATTTTAAAAATGATAGATCCCCACGATTATCCATACCCAAATGACAATCATAAATCTTTTTCTCCGCAATAATTTCCTTTCCAGGAGGATCCGCTCCCGATCCTCTTTATGAGGATCCTGGAGATCCTCAAATCGTGTTCGATCATCGTATATCGTGTGGTCAATTTTCATCGAGTACTATTCGTATTTAATTTAAAATAAAAATATTTAAAATGATTTTAGGCCGTACAATGTACGATGAACAAATACGATTTAAGGATCCTCACGATTCCCGCAAAGAAGATCCGAAAAAGATCCTCATTCATTTCCCTTTACATTACGCAAATAACGTGTGTGATAACTGTAGTTGAAAATTAAGCAATCACGGTGAATGCCTCTTTAATTTTTTATGTTTTAATTTGTGCCTATAATTCTTTAATGACGCATGAAACACACCAAAAATCAACCAGTATAAAATAACCAAAACCATATCTGCAATACACACACATATTATTAGATTGTAATTTATAATTATAATTTAGTATTACGGTCTAATAGTATTCTTCTTTACTTATAAGTAAGAGGTAACTTTGATTCTTGTCAAAAGGTAAATTTGAACCATTGCTAGCCCATGAGGCTAAGCCCACCCCCTCCCTCTTAGTGTAGATAATATCGTTTGTTAAAAAAAAATATATATATGTATATACAGGGTATCAGCTCGTAGCTTCACCACTTCAGTCTACCTTCCAGGAGCCGAGAAAATTTAAAGAGACATTTCAGTCTTTCCCTGACCATCATCATCATGTAATTCATCAACGATAAAAATCGAACTCAAGACATGCCGTATAAAATAAGAATCTGAAATTCGTCATCAACTAATGAATCACCTCATAATGATATAAAGCCAGCTGTGTTGAACGTAGGCCTTGGTTGTTATGACTTGGGATCTCCGTGCATATTATTATCATTATTATGACCAATAAATGGGTGAAGAATTAAGAAAAGCGACTGGAAAGTGGAAACCTCTTTTTGTCAAAGGTGTAATTCAAGTCAAAAGCCCTTTGTGGAAGAGATTTTTCAATGTGATTGAAACACAAAATAGTACATCACGTGTTATTATACAAATGATAGGATATGTGTGTTAAAAGTTAATAATTTAAAAAATAAAATTTCTCACTACTTATATAGAAACACGTAATGCATCACTCGTGTTCCGATCACAATAAAAAAAATTCCTTAGTGTGAGGGGATCTCATAGTCCACGCGTTACAAGTCAAGCCAGAGGAAGAGATAAATTGTGGTACCCGGCATATTCTTTGGGGTTTAAATCAAGATGATGCCATCATAAAATGTCAAGTATAAAGGAGAGATTTTTGAATAAGGGCGTCGCATAATAACACAACTCTCTAAACTAATGTGCGTGGGCCGTTATAGTGTCACTTTACCGTAAGAGTTGTTCTATGCTCAAAAGTATGTAACATATGGTTGACTTCAGCTGTAGTGAAATATGATTACTTACCTAATTTAAGTTTACCCAACATAAACTAAGGTTGGTGGGGTTGGGACCAAAATTCAACGTGACTTCGACCCAACATGCTTTAATTTAAGGTTGTACCTTATGAAATAAGCACGTCTGTCATAAAATTAATTTAGCAATGGATGAAAAAACTCAAAGAAGATGACATCACCCAAAAACAATGTTCAAGTCATTGCAGTTTCAATCCACACCCTGCGATTTTTACAAAGGGCCGGTTCAACGAAGTTTGATAACTTTTTTTTTTTTCTTGAGTTTAGAGTTTAGGGTTTACGGTTTATGAATTGTAAGTAAATATATAGAACACTCCATACATGAAAACCAATAACCACACTGAAGTTGATACAGTGGAACTACCCAAAGCTCAATGGAATTTACCAAATAAAAAGTTAGCTAGACTAATACACTTGCATTAACTTTGGTAAAATGCACTTTTGAGGTGCAAATTTAGATCACAGTTCATGGGATCAAGATCCTCTCCTGATCTAACAGTTCAGTTTGCAACCAAGCAATTCGGATCATTCAATTTAAATCTTACAGTCTTTATTAGCTCATTTCACTGGTCCACATTATAAACAATCTCTCCCAACGCTCATATATCTCCTCTCTCTTGAAAGCTTCAGATTCCTCAATCTCCAATCTCTAGAATGTGAAATCCGGAGACAATCTCAATGTCAATTTGTGACCACATATTCAGCATTTCTCTAATGGCTTGAAAAATTGGCAATTATTTCAGATTAAATAATTTTACGAAGTGTTTCATTTTTCAGTTCCATATTACTAAGAGGTACGGATGGATTCCAACAACCAAACAACTCAAAGCCACAACTACTTGCCCTACTACTCT